GCCTGTTCAGGTTAACCTAACGTAGCAGCCGTTAAAATGCGCCTGTTCAGGTTAACCTAACGTAGCAGCCGTTAAAATGCGCCTGTTCAGGTTAACCTAACGTAGCAGCCGTTAAAATGCGCCTGTTCAGGTTAACCTAACGTAGCAGCCGTTAAAATGCGCCTGTTCAGGTTAACTTAACGTAGCAGCGGTTAAAATGCGCCTGTTCAGGTTAACCTAACGTAGCAGCCGTTAAAATGCGCCTGTTCAGGTTAACCTAACGTAGCAGCCGTTAAAATGCGCCTGTTCAGGTTAACTTAACGTAGCAGCCGTTAAAATGCGCCTGTTCAGGTTAACCTAACGTAGCAGCCGTTAAAATGCGCCTGTTCAGGTTAACTTAACGTAGCAGCCGTTAAAATGCGCCTGTTCAGGTTAACCTAACGTAGCAGCCGTTAAAATGCGCCTGTTCAGGTTAACCTAACGTAGCAGCCGTTAAAATGCGCCTGTTCAGGTTAACCTAACGTAGCAGCCGTTAAAATGCGCCTGTTCAGGTTAACCTAACGTAGCAGCCGTTAAAATGCGCCTGTTCAGGTTAACCTAACGTAGCAGCCGTTAAAATGCGCCTGTTCAGGTTAACCTAACGTAGCAGCCGTTAAAATGCGCCTGTTCAGGTTAACCTAACGTAGCAGCCGTTAAAATGCGCCTGTTCAGGTTAACCTAACGTAGCAGCCGTTAAAATGCGCCTGTTCAGGTTAACCTAACGTAGCAGCCGTTAAAATGCGCCTGTTCAGGTTAACCTAACGTAGCAGCCGTTAAAATGCGCCTGTTCAGGTTAACCTAACGTAGCAGCCGTTAAAATGCGCCTGTTCAGGTTAACCTAACGTAGCAGCCGTTAAAATGCGCCTGTTCAGGTTAACCTAACGTAGCAGCCGTTAAAATGCGCCTGTTCAGGTTAACCTAACGTAGCAGCCGTTAAAATGCGCCTGTTCAGGTTAACCTAACGTAGCAGCCGTTAAAATGCGCCTGTTCAGGTTAACCTAACGTAGCAGCCGTTAAAATGCGCCTGTTCAGGTTAACCTAACGTAGCAGCCGTTAAGATGCGCCTGACCAGGGTTCCCACATCCGTTTTTCAGGGGAAACGGAAGTTCAGTTGAAAATACTGTATCACTGTACTGTCTATGACTGTATCCCTGAAAACCGGATGTTAGCGGTGTTCTGGCGACCCCGCTTAGGCTAGATTCGGGTGAATTTTGGTAGTCATGATTGTGAACTGCAAGCTTATTGGTCCATTTTAATTACCTGTTTGTTTGCTGTGATTGGTTGCAAGTATGCTACAGGTATTTGTATTTATTAGGGATCCCCTGGCAGCAGCTACTCATCCTGGGGTCCAAACACATTAAGGTGATAAAGTCTTATCCAGTGGATAAGACTTCATCACAAATACAAGTAGTGATGAAGTGAATCTCTCCTCCACTTTGAGCCAGGCGAGATTGACATGCATATTGTTAATGTTTGCTCGCTATGTACATCCAAGGGCCAGCCGTGCTGCCCTGTTCTGAGCCAATTGTAATTTTCCTAAGTCCCTCTTTGTGGCACCTGACCACATGACTGAACAGTAGTCCAGGTGCGATAAAACTAGGGCCTGTAGGACCTGCCTTGTTCATAGTGCTGTTAAGGTAGAGCAGCTCTTTATTATGGACAGACTTCTCCACATCTTAGCAACTGTTGTATCAATATGTTTTGACCATGACCGTTTATAATCCAGGGTTACTCCAAGCAGTTTAGTCACCTCAACTTGCTCAATTTCCACATTATTCATTACCGGATTTTGTTGAGGTTTAGGGTTTAGTGAATGATTTTCGTTTTTTTTTTTATATTTAGGACTACTTTATTCCCTGCCACCCATTCTGAAACTAACTGCAGCTCTTTGTTAAGTGTTGCAGTCATTTCAGTCGCTGACTCTGAAGGATTGCATATTGTATTTGCTTATAGTCCTGTCTCTTGTACTTCCAGGGTGAATTATTTGGCACCACTGTTGCTGATGAAGGAACGTGGACATTAGGTGGGTTTCTACTAAGTCATCCTCTCTCTTCTAATTCAATCAACACATTATGGTTCTACACCTGCATTACTAGCTGTTTGGGGTTTTAGGCTGGGTTTCTGTACAGCACTTCGAGATATTAGCTGATGTACGAAGGGCTATATAAAATAAAATTGATTGATTGATTGATTGGTTGAATGTAAAGCTTACAGTCCCCTGTAGCTCAGTTGGTAGAGCATGGCGCTTACAACGCCAGGGTTGTGGGTTCGTTTCCCACGGGGGACCAGTACGAAAATGTATGCACTCACTATAACTGTAAGTCGCTCTGGATAAGAGTGTCTACTAAATGACTAAAATTTTAATAATAAATCAGTCTTTCACAAGATAGGCTCATTCATTCCTCTCTACACATTTCCCATCCAGTGGATAAGCCATTAGCAGATATTGGTTGAAAATAAACCCTAAGCGATCACTCTCCCCCTCCACACGTCTATTCCAGAGGATAAGTGTCTGATCCGTATCATGCTGATGAAGACCAACAGGGAGGCGGGTAACTGCTGGGCCTCTCTGCTACAGGGAGAGTACTGTGCTGATGCCTGGCTCCAGGACCAGATGCAGAGGAAACTAACTCTGGAGAGGTTCCAGAGAGAGGTAAGTCACGGCAATACCAGTAGTCATTTCCATAGAGGTAATCAATGATACTATAGACTAGGGTTCTTCAATTCCGGTCCTGGAGGGCCGAAACACCTCTGTTTTTCATCCTCTCCTTCTAATCAGGGGCTAATTCAGACCTGGGACACCAGGTGAGTGCAATTAACTACCAGGTAGAAATAAAAAACAGAAGTGTTTCGGCCCTCCAGGACCGGAATTGAAGAACCCTGCTATAGACAATCACACAAGGAGCCTTAACACTACACTAACAACACTGACTACGCTTCTTCTCAATAGCCTAAAACCTCAAGCCTATTTCTTCAGCCACATTATCTGAAGAACCTGGATAGATGAAGGCATTTTAACATGCAGGCTTGCTTCTTCCGTACTGCTTTCACCTCTCTCTACATTAAATGAATTTTGCTGTGTCACTTCCCACTCTGTCAACAGAACCCTGGCTTTGACTTCAGTGGAGCAGAGATCTCTGGGAACTTTGCAGGTGGTGGGCCAGACTTCTCCAGCTTGCAGAAGTAAAGTGACATCACAAAAGTGTTGTCGAACAGCAAGAGGGACCCACCCACTGTACAGTATGCCTGAGATTTCTGTCATATGGACACTGTTGAAGCCTGCCTAGGGGTGAAGAGATTGTACTGTAGAGGGACTAGTGCTGCGTTCATAACCAAGTGGAAGGTGGTATTTACAACATAAGACTGGGGAAAATCCACTTGAACGGCCCTCCAACCCGTAATTACTAGTGAGAAACTCATCCATCATCCCTGAGCTCCGACTTCTCCCACATGCTGACCTCTGATGTGAAATGACCTCTAACAGCATTTTCAGCAGTTAAATGTAACAAAACATTTATAAAAAGCAATCTATCAATATGGTTTTTGAACGCTATCATTTGTTTACAAGCATGATAGCTGTACTTTTAGTTTGTGGTTGATGCAGCTTGTTGGCCATTAGCCAATTCACAAACATTCAAAGCATGTGAACGCATCCAAATGGTATTTTCAACTTCACAACTGGTAATTACCACCTTCCCTCTTGGATATGAATGCAACATAGGAAGAGCAGTTGCCTTTGGGCAAGGAATGGACAATGTGTTCTGAAACAATTAGAATATGCAGTCATTTGAAATTGAACTATAAGCCATAATAACACAAACCCACACCCTGCCTTTTCTCTGACCCCTTTGCGTTATTTAGGATTGGTTTTATCCTGCCAAACTGTTCATAGCAGACTGCATAGCCATAATTCAGTTAACTAGCTGCCGGTATGGAAATCTTTTGTGGATTTATAATAAATCGTTGAAAAGTGGTCTTTATGGATATGTGGTTTAAAAACATTGAAGACAGTGCAACCACACAGCTTTTCAATATCGTTTTATTGAAAGGTCCAAAACACATGGGTTAAACAGATGTAGTTCCAACTTTTTTTTTGAGGCAATGTTTTCAAATTCCAGAACATCAACTTTATTTCAAATTCTTAACAAAATACTTAATGTCAGATCAATTGTGGTTGGCTATGGCCTCAGCACGTCAAATACTTGAGTAAATGCAAATCAAACTAACTTAATTTCCTACATCTACTGTGCTTATCTAAGTGACTTAGAGTGCATTTTAGCACAATAAATTAATTGCGAGTGGTTGTTTTCTAAAGGCTAAAGTTTTGCCACAAATCAAGATAATTCAACATCACATTTTGTAATAGTGACCATGTTCATCTGTAACCGTTGTTAGTAATAGACATTACATTAGATAGTGGGTGTGTCCAAAATGATACCATAGTGGGGTACCATGTCATCCACAGCTATCCTGCAAGCTAAAACCAATACATGCGCAGGATCATTGTTAGTTTCATCACATCACTGAGGAAACCTCAAACGCCCTCACAAGTATAAAAAAAAAAAGTTTATAAAGTAAAAATAAATTTTTTCATCACCTTGGGTAGAGGAGTGTGCATTTTTAGGCCAGTTCATCAACCTAGGGTGGAAGTTAAGGGTTTTGGGTCCGATTTCTTGGTTCCATTGGTTTGCATTTTCACAAAACCCTTCTCCCTCCTCTTCCACATAGTGGACTGAGGACCTAGGTGGTTCTATACTTCATTGCTTAAAACCAGCAACCACGATAGAATACTATGCAGAGTATTCATGTTGGTACTGATTCAGATAAGAACATACTGTATACACGCGTGCAAGCATTTCAACCAGGAAGGATTTAACCTTCGCTAGATGGCAGCGGATAAACCCACTCTTGACCGGGCATTACTCCCTTAGAGTGCATTCTAAGTGGCACCCTATTCCCTATAAAGAGCAATCAGCTCTGGTCAAAAGTAGTGCACTATATAGGGAATAGGGTTCCATTTCAGACGCACCTTTAGTCAATGAAGCAGATGTAGGCTAATAAATAGTGAGCTCATTCAAAAAGTGCCATGACAGAACAACCAAGAGAAAGGAAAAGAAAAGTTAACAGGTTTTCCCCTTAAAGAACTACATCATCCATAATGCAGTTCTGTAAGGGAAATGGGTTAGTGATGGAGGTGGGTGACCGTGTAGCAACAGAGTACAGGAAGTCGCTATTTTTCCATGAAACTGAAAAACAAAATATGTTTTTAGGGGAGAAGAGGTGGTAGTCTACTTCTCCTTTTGCATCTGTGTACTGTGGTCACCCACCCCCAGGGTTCAGTAGGCGGACTCCGGTATTGTGGGCATATGGGCGATCTTGTAATAGCTGTGTTTCAACGTGCGTTGCGTCCTGCCAGAGAGGATCCAACGAAGCCTCTGGCTGTTGGGCTTGGAGACCCTGGTGGTTGAATACTCAATCAGACACTTCATAACCAACTCTGTCACCGTAACCAGGTCCCCTTCTCGGATCTGAGGAAACACACAAGAAACAGGAGAGGAAAAACAGAACTATTATCATGCAGCATTGGCAGCACATCAGAGTATTCATTTATTTTAAAAGCTGCCAATCAGAGAGCGTTTGTTCCTTAGAGCTGCTGCTGGTCTGTTTGCCCGTTTATTCACTGCATCATTCAAAACATAATCCAGAGGGGGTTCCCAATTCCAAAGATCAAATTCAACGTCTCTCCAGAGTCTTGTTTAATCATCAACTTGCCTACATTTTCCATGAACCCTCAACATTAGGCAATCCGTTGGGCAATAGACCTTGGGGCTCCAACACACAGAGCAGGGCAAACGCTCCACCTCATAGCCAACAGTGGCTGCGTCTCAAATGGCAATTTATTCCCTGCAGTGAGTGCACTACTTTTGACCAGGCCCCATACGGTGCCATTTGGGACGCAGCCACAGTGTAAACACCTTCCATTGCTGGGTTGTGTTCATTAGGCACCAAACGGGGAAACAAAAACACTCAAACGGGGGATAAACTACCTTGGACTTGTCCAATAAGAAACTCATTTTCTTTGAGCGCGTCTTTTCTCTCGTTTTCCGTTGCAAAACATTTCAAACGTTTTCCGTTGTATGCCCTAATGAACAAGACCCTGGTTAGTATCCTGTTACAACAGACATGTTTGGGGAGTGATATGACACTGGGTGGTAGAGCCTGAGTCCCAGATCTGTTTGTACTCTCTTGCCAACTCCTATGCCCCCAAATGTTTGGTGTGACGACATAGGAGCAAGACGGTACAAACACCTGAGACCAGGCTATCTGGCTAGACTGGACAGTAAACACTCACAGTGAGTTGCTGCTTTAGAGACTGGAAGGCGTTGAGCAGCTTGTCTATGTGCTCGTGGTCATGTTGCTCCTGAAGCTCCAGGGTCAACAAGGACAGGGCAAGCAGAGAGGGCTGTGGAGAGGGGGGAGGAATGGACGAGAGAGAGTGGGAACGAGACATTAGGTTGACATGAAAACTACATATTAAGAGTGATATTTTGTACAGAGCAACATTTTACAGTTTGGTTTGAAACTATTTTTGAGTATGTTTTTCCACCCACACACTCAAAGCTCATCAACCCCCCACCCCTTTCCCAAGTGGCTGACCAAAATAGGCCTAGATCCAATGTCACAACATGAACTAGCCTACATACACCCCTTGCGCCTGTATTTTATAGTCAAGTTAAAATCGGTTTGCTTTGACACATAGTATTGAGAGATTCTAAATGAGACCAAAACACATTTGTTTTGACACACAGAACTACAGTATCTTACCTTGACTTTGGAGAAGGTAAAAGAGCAATGGCAGGCTTTCAGCTGGGCTTCTAGTCTCTCAATGTTCAGGATGTCCTTGCTATGGAGAGAAAATGGGTTTTAATAATGTCTGTTCAACTTGTTTGTCAAGTCTTTTATAAGGCATAAGAGCTAAAGGGAAATGTCCATAAAAGATATAGATATATATATATATATATATATGAAACTGAGTTTGAGAGAAATGCATCAACTTTATCCAAATCCCCCGTTATCCAGCCACTACTTTTAGAGAGTGTATGTGTGAACACAAGCCATCAGACAGGCTCAATCAGCTGCTTTGTGGAACGGCTTCATAATGAATAAATAATACAACAGGGGCTTTATCTATTAACCTAGTGCACAAGTTGACTGCAGGTATTTATTTAACAAGAACATATTCCAAATTGGGAAAAAACGAGCTGAAAAAAGTTAACAGTATTGAAAAACATACAGTGGGTATTTCAAGATACCCCGGTGTACACCACGGGTGTCAAACTCATTTTGCACCGTGGCCCGCGGTCGGTCTTCCACGAAGTCCGGAGTGCCGCAATAAAATTTGGTAATTATTAGCGAGCTAGACAGTGAAGTTTCTACAGTTTTGATTTGGTTTTATTCCTTTTAAATATTGAGTTTGTTTGTTACTTTTTTTTTTTACTTCAACCACCTGCCGAATTGGACCCCCCCTGTTATGGACCCCCATGCCGAATCCGGCCCGCGTGCCGTATGTTTGACACCCCTGGTATATACAGTATACCGCCCAAGCCTACAGTCATCGTACCAGTCATCTTCAAGCGTGTCCTGTATGTGGCTGTAGAACAGTCTGAGGAAGTGGAGGGCTGTCGGGGCTTTGACCTTCCAGTAGAGCTTCTCCAGAATGATCTTCTCCATCCTCATCATGTCGGACACGGTGAAGCGGTTCTGGCTGATCCGGATCAACTCGTTGGCCACGGGGATGTTCTTCTCCTCCTCTGAGGTCTTCACAGCGATGTAGAAACAGGACAGGCCCACACATGACAGATGCTTTGGCTGGATCTGGTGACGGGAGAAGAATGAGGGGAATGTTATTTACCAAATGGTTGGAGTTAATGGTTATGTTCATATTCATAGTTATTGAATATCACTTATTTGATTTTTGGGGTTTTATCTTTGAAATATTTTCACAGTGAAGAGATATTCGGTAACATCAGAATGTTCTACGGCCTATACCTACTAGATGTATGATTTTACAAATGCACGTCGAGTAACAGTCATTCGTTTCCCTGTCTGTATTGCTTACTCACCTAAAACCAAATTAATAAAAAGACAGATTTGAATCAATTCTAAATCAAACCCTATCTGATGTCCAGGTCTTACCTTCATGACGGCGAGGAAGCGGTCCAGCAGGTTGACGGCCAGGGAGAAGGTCTCGGCGCTGAAGCCAAAGAACCTGGTCAGAGACAGGAGGTCCTTCACCTCGTACTCCCTGAGCCGGGCGGTCATCCTCAGGCCGTTGTCATGGGCCGTCTCAATGATCCTCAGACCGCTCAGCTTGGGTTGGTACCTGAACTCCTGGTCAGTCAGAGCCTTCAATTGCACGGCGAAGGGCAGAGCCCCTGGTCCAGTCACTGTGGGAAGCATCTATGGAGAGGATGTTGGTCATTATTAAGTACATTAATTCATGGGAATTGATTATATAATGTTTCAATTCAACTTCATGAGTACAGTCAATCTGTGGAAGGGGGCCAGAATTCAAGGGAATGTATTAATAAGAGCTTTAATAAGCATTTTCCATAGTTAAGATAGTCACCATTCTGTTACATTGGTGTAATAAGTGGAATAGTATTGATAGTTACATGTAATATCAACTTGATGATTAAGAATGAGTAGCATAGCTTACTTTTATTTGAGGTGAACTTAAAAACAGGTTTGGGGATGTTTTGACGGTACGCGTCACAATGGTACTGGTACGTTGGAAACGTGTTACATCCTATTTAGAAAAAGTTACTGCCCAAGGCTTCTACTCCCCTAGTAGAGACAAGACTGTTACTTTCGCCATTGATCTAGATCAGGGATATTCAACTGGGGGTCCGCAGAGGTAGGCTACTGCAGGGGGTCAGCAAAAAAAAAAAAATATATATATATATATGTTTATATTGCTAGCAACAAACAAATATTTTATTATACCTACATTAGAAAATAGGATATTTAGCTTTCTATTATGCCAACTTTATTTCTCAACTCCTAATATTGAGCAAATTACACTCATTGGAGTATCTGACATAGGCTTTGAAACGGTTTGGCATGGGCCCTCAAATAGTTCTACAGCTGTACCATTGAGAGTATCTTGACTGGCTGCATCACTGCTTGGTATGGCAATAGCACCGCCCTCGATCGCATGGCGCTACTGAGGGTGGTGCGGACAGCCCAGTACATCACCGGGGCTGAGCTCCCTGCCATCCAGGACCTCTATATCAGGCGGTGTGAAAGGAAGGCCCTTAAAATTGTTAAAGCCTCCAACCACCCAAGCCATGGACTGTTCTCTCTGCTTCCGCACTGCAAGCAGTATCGGTGAATGAAGTCTGACACCAACAGGCTCCTGAACAGTTTCTATCCCCATGCTATAAGACTGCTAAATTGTTAACAAAATAGCTACACAAACTGATTTGACCTTTGTATTTTATTCTTATTTTTGCACTCTATGCACACTCACAGGACCCTACACACACTGATACTACAACACACAAACAAACACTCACTCCATCATCTGCTCACACACATTTATAATGACGCTACACACACCCACATTCAAACATCATGTAAGCTGCTGCTATTCTTGTTTATCATATCCTGATGCCTAGTCACCCCTATACATATCTACCTCTATCGATCCAGTATCCCTGCACATTGTAAATATGGTACTGGAACTGAACCTGTATATAGTATGCTTACTTAATCGTGTTCTTCTCATTTCTTATTTTCATATCTCGTGTGTTTTTGTTCTACCTTGGTATTTTTAGTATTACGTTGTTATTGATTACTGCATTGTTGGGGTTAGAGCTTGCAAGAAAGGCATTTCACTGTACTTGTGCATGTGACATTAAAACTGGAAAAAAAACATCAGCTAATAGTCTACCAGTGCGGCAGCCGCTGGCTGCTGGTAAGCTTTCTTGACTTGGACAGTCATTTTTGCCAACACATGGCTAACCTTTGTTTGACCAGCTAAACAGCTAGCCCTTACCGAAAATGTGTTTGGAGTTTCCTTTGGAGTTAATTTTTCTAATACGCTATGTTATAGTTTACACTTCCTCTTCCAATTATATAAAAGTGGAGAGGTCAAAATAATTTCAAACTAAAATGTTGATTACTTATAATTCACCTGATACGACGTTTGATGGGGTCACTTGGTCGCCGGTTTACCTTGGAAAGGGTCCCTGGGCAAGGTAAGGTTGAAGACCCCTGATCTAGCTGATTATATTGTCATTATCCACTACTGTTCCCGGTCACCACGATCTCTTGAATTGTCATTAAACTAGATTGAACTGGTCTGAATCCTACTATAGGGGTCGCAATTTCCTACTGCATGGGGACATGTCAAAAAGTTGGACGTGTATCACATACATCCGCCAAAAAGGTTATAATTATCTCTTGTGTGTAAACCATTAGGCAATACAGTTCAAATGGACAATAAACCAGTACTATTTAAAAAGATAAAACGACTAGTCTTTACTAGTGTGAGATGTGAACAAGGCAAGGTCCCATGCGGCAGTGCGTCATTCCATTGGCAGCGCTAGGTCTGCGTGATGTGTCCGGACATGTTCCCTGCCCATAGAAACCAATGGAGGATATGAAACACCGATAGTAGTAACTTAAACGCAGCTAATACTACAACAGCGTATACGGTTTTCTCCAAATAATACTTTTCTACATTATAAATTGATGTTAGTGTTATATTTGAATCTAAAAAAAAACAGATTATTCACAAAACAGGCGGTTTTAAGAGTTGAAGCCATGGCGAAGTACACCGGTAGGCCGTCGAGGCAAAAAATATATATACCACTAAACGAACATGTAGGATATCGTTGAAACAATATGGCTACATAACGATATGGTTTAACATTGTGCTTAGTAGTTGGAAACCAAAGAAAGAAGTATAATGGTGAAAAGGAGGGTTCTTACCTTGTCTTTGATATGATGAGGAGCGTTGGTTGTTGCAGTGGAAAGTATGCAAGCGAATTAAATATATAGTTTCAGGAAAATAAAGGTTAAGATGATAGTATGTACTTTCAATCAGAAAGCTGTAAGCAAACGTAATTCCTCCTCCTAAGCACACCCCTTACCCTTGGCGTAAGGCGAAAGGAAAAGGCTTTTCAGCCTTTAGTACTAGTCCAGACCATGCCCCAAAATAGCAAGGTCTAATTGGCCAGTGTTGAAACGATCCTCCCTAACTTCTCAGTTTTCATTCGATACAAACCCATCAATCAGCAAGAAAGTCACGCCCTTCGCAGTACTGGGTGGGGTAATGTTATTTACATTTGAGTCATTTAGCAGACGCTCTTATCCAGAGCGACTTACAGTTAGTGAATACATATTTTTTTTATACTGGCCCCCCGTGGGTTATGATGGGGAGATACCTTCTTTAGAGAAAGAACGACACGGGCACCATGGAACGCACTGTACAATCTCCAGGATATGTATTGTGCCATATTGTTGACAGTTTGTTGCAGACAGTTTTTGGTTGCACAATGTTAACGGCATCTCTAGAATAATTAAGCATATACCTGTGCTGTGTGTCAAACTACTGTTATAAATTGAGTTTCCATAAATGTAATGCATTTAAATTATTTATGAACCATTACGCATATAGGTCCAAACAACAATTTGCAGATTGGCTTTCATCTATAACATTTTCACAATTAATGTAAAAACAACAATTCAAAAAATAGTCTATTTGGTAACTGGAAACCAGTAGCTCTGCGTCTGGACCGTACAGTCATTGGTCTGGACTCTGGAACAGTCTAGAAAGCCAGGGGTGCAGTGGCGCGCTCTGACGCCCTATTAGCCTGTATAGACATGAGGAGAGGTAAAAACCAAAGTTCAGAGCTGTCCGAATGTATTCATTAACATTGAATCAAAGAGAGGTGAAGACAATTTTTCAAAGTAGTTTTATTCATAGCGAGCAAATACTAATCTATACGATATATGGTATAATCAATAACCTTTATAAGACAACATATTTTAAGATAGTTTAACTATAATCTTGGACACTTCAGGATAATATTAATATTTTTCAGTAGTTTTAGTGTCAAATGACAATTGAAAGAAGCTCGTTTTGTTCTGTTGGAATATTGTTCTCAATTTCAGACAAATTCAACAATACACCTTAATGATTCATCTTTAGCCATCAAATTATACATTCCCAACTGTTAACTACCACCGCACAACTCACATTATTATTTAAGTAGGTAGACTAATCCATAGATCATATGGGGGGGGCCACAAAGTCAGTATGTTAAATCAAGTTCTTATTCCTTATAAATAGACAACCCTAACAACCTCTTGCAGGTTGCAGCACCGTTAATAAAACGTCTTACCACTACAATTTTACAGTGTAATAAGACAAGTCACTAGTCAAAGGCAATAAATACAACCAGGTGCGCAACTTTGGTTTTAGAAGTGGGGGGGGGACATTATCTTTTGTATTTTTTTTTATCCAGTGGGATAAACACTCCAAACAGCCTACCCAAACGCTCGGAGGCGTCCGCATGGTCCTAAAGCACACCGTTGCCTTGTTTTGTATCACATTCCAATGATAAAACTGGGAGGGCCAAAAATGCAATTTCAGAATGTGGGTGGGGGACATGCAATAACGCAATAACTCCAAAATGGTGGAAAGCTTGGTCTTGTGTAAAATGTCCAAAACATGTCATCAGTTTGAAGTGTTTTAAGGAAATGAAAACCTGAGAAAACGATGAAACAAGTTTCTGATAAAACTTCAGTTCGACTTGGGTGCATATTTGTTGTGGTTGAAATACTGTCTGCTTGCATAACAGTGTCAAAGATAACGCATCACACGCTCATTTGCATTTTCTCAAGAGATGCTGAAAGAAAGAAATCATATTTCTCCACTCCTGTTCCCAAGACAAAATTAACATTTGTTGTATAATTTCACTGCAAGACATGCATAATTCTGCAAGAGTTAATATTATATTACACTTCATGAGGTTATAGGCCTACACTCAGTGTCCATATTTCAGTTACTATTCCATTTAACCCATATACTTAAATGAGGAATATTCTGTTTATTAATGGACACAATGATAGTAATGAGTCCAGGGTGCATGTAAACAGCTTATCCTGAATAAGACCTTAAGCAGGATATGAGCTATATTATCCATAATACTGTGCTAATGTAAACGTGGTCAATGAAAAAATGCTGTGGAACTGGCTTTGAGGTCCAGAGTTGAGTTTGAGGGCTTTAGAGCTATAGAGCATCAGCTTTTATTGAACTAAGGTTGCATGCCAAATGGTACCCTATTCCCTATATAGTGCACTACTTTATAGCCCTATAGATAGCCTATACACTTTCTAAGTATTAGAGAAAGTGTGTAATAATATGCTGAGCTTGGACTGCACTGTATGGAAGACTCCAGGGACCAGGTATAGGTAGGAACATAACTTGAAGAGTTCAGGAAGGAGAGCACATCACAGCAAGGGGTCCATCCCAAATGGCATTCTATTCCCTATGTAGTGCACTACTTTTTACCAGATGCGTAGGTCAAAAGTTGTGCACAGTATAGGGAATAGGGTGTCATTTAGGGCACACATTTTACAAAAATGTAGCTTTGAATCACACTGTAAAAAATAGTAAGCTCAATAGATTGTTAATTGTCAATAGGGGAAGAATAGAACAGCCCTCCTTTTGGCGTGGTAGAAATTCAGTCTTCTAATTTAAATTCCTTCCTGATGTTAGGGAGCAGGCAGACGGAAGACTAAAGAAGCTATGAGAAGAAAAGAAAAAACGTCAGGTCATTGATTTGAACAGGAGACAAGCAGGCAGGCTAGCATACCAGAGCATACACACTGCATACCCAGGAAAGTCATGATGAATGAACTATACTACTTTCTGTAACCCTATACTCACTGGGAGTTGAGTACTGTACATTTATGGACATGAAGATGATGATTGTGTGACTAAAAGTAGGCTATAAGTAAGTTAGTATTTTGATGACCAGTATTTTGCATGTGCCAATCCCTAGATTAACTGTTTATTACATAAGTACCCCATCAATTGAAGCAGGTTAATACTATGACAACACTTGCTATTCACTGATTAATTACCTGGAAACAATAAAACAATCTCCATTATGTAACTCAGATAACCCAGGCTTACTGGAGAAATAAAAACTAGCCTGGTCACAGATCTGTTTGTGCTCTTGTCAACTCCACTGCTCATTGTCAAGCCATACATGCTGAAGTAGGCATGATAGCACAAACAGACTAGCACTCAGGCTAAAATAAAACATTCAGAGTAGAGTAATGGGTGGGGGAAATGCAGGGTTGGGAAACAAAATTCATGACCCACAAACACCACAGTCAACCAGGTCTTGGGTAACACCACAGTCAACCAGGTCTTGGGAATTTTAAGCCGCCCTACTATAAAGCCTGCTGCTGTAGGATATGGTTGCATCATTTCATGCAATACAGTTGCCTGGCTACCCAAACTCCTTGCTACACCACACCCACAGACGTTAGATTCTTCTCCGCAATCAGTTTGGATCTGACGATTTCTAGAATGGAAATCAATTCTAGGCCATCTGATTGGTCCCCGAAACCCATGGGTTGGGCCAGAGCCAGAACACACGTGGGTAAAGCGGTGGTTTGAAAATGTGTCATTGGCTTTGATAGATTATCAACGATCCAATCTTTGACGACTATGTTTTGTACAACACCCCTCATTTTGACATCACCACAAACTACTTAAATGATGCCAGTCTCAGACTGAAGTATGTAGCGAACGATAGAGCAGCGGAAGAATTCCGTTTGAGTCGTCAGGCAAGTGATACAGAGGACAGAGAAGAAAAGTACAGATAAGTGATCAGTGTGGCTGGTAAAACTCAGGAATTATATCTATACATTCGTTGTAGGCTGTAAATATACAGCATTGATAAAAACCATGATTCGCCTTCTGAAGTCCCAGAGCAATGCATACACGTCCCAAGTGAATTCCCTTTTATTTCTTTATTGGAATGAAAAGGTATACAAAGGTTTTCTCCTCTCTCCCTTTAACAGGAACATTGACCACCATCCCACCATTCAGAGATTTAAAAAACAACAGTCAGAGGCATGTCCTTCAGCTCTGTAAACCATAGCTCCTCTTACCCTTTAACCTTTGCATATTCAATTCAATTGTATAGAATGGTCGCTTTCACCCTTATTGCGTAATATAGTTGCCATGGCAACCTAGTAGTAGCCTAAGCACAGAGCTCCTGTAAATGTGTACATATTTAGTTATTTTTTAGGTGTTTTTAATTGTTGATTTTTAAAATCAGCTCTTTTGTTTTTGATAACATTTCGTTTTTATTGCATATAACTGGTGTTTTTAAGCCACAGCTTTGCAGATTGACTGACGGGTTAACACATTTTGGCTTGGCTAGCTAACTAAATGGCTAATGTTTTTGTTTGAAATATGCATCCGGACGCAGTACCAGCTTTTTAGTTCACCTGGCCGCCAATTCCTGATCTTCTGAGAACATAATTTGAGGAGTGGTGTGAGAGGAATGGGAGACAGAGGAATACAGCAGATGCTGAGGCAGAAGGCTCGTAGTGAGGACGACTGGCTACTATTCTGAACTGTGTGTGGTGAGCTTTCTGGCGCCCAGAGCTGCTGAGGCGTCACCCAAGTGGGTGTTACACAGAGTGGACGAGGAGAAGTCCAGTGGCTATAAGAGTCAGGCTGGTTCCCAGATTTGCCCTCTACAAGATCATCAGCAGACTCCATCACCATCATCTAACATCCTCTGACCAGCTCTCTCCACTCAAGCCATGAACTGACTCTCTCCATCTTCGGCGGATGCAGCTTTCAAAGACTTGGCCTCTATTGGTTAACCTGTCATGATATATTGCTTGCTTATTTTTTTGCTCTTGAAGCGCTTTGAGATTCTATGAAAAGCGCTATAGAAATGTAATAAATTATTATTATTATTATTATTATTATTATTATTATTATTATTATTATTATAATAGACTATACTGGACTCTACCTAACTACAGCAACATAACATACTGGACTCTACCTAACTACAGCATCATAACATACTGGACTCTACCTAACTACAGCAACATAACATACTGGACTCCTGAGTGGCGCAGTGGTCTAAGGCACTGCATCGCAGTGCTAACTGTGCCACTAGAGATCCTGGTTCGAATCCAGGCTCTGTCGCCGCCGGCCGCGACCGGGAGACTCATGGGCTCTGTCGCCGCCGGCCGCGACCGGAAGCCCATGTACTCCTGAGTGGCGCAGTGGTCTAAGGCACTGCATCGCAGTGCTAACTGTGCCACTAGAGATCCTGGTTCGAATCCAGGCTCTGTCGCCGCCGGCCGCGACCTGGAGACTCATGGGCGGCGCACAATTGGCCCAGCGTCGTCCAGGGTAGGGGAGGGAATGGTCGGCAGGGATGTAGCTCAGTTGATAGAGCATGGCGTTTGCAACGCCAGGGTTGTGGGTTCGATTCCTTACTAACTGTAAGTCGCTCTGGATAAGAGCGTCTGCTAAATGACTAAAATGTAAATGTAAAAAAAAATGGACTCTACCTAACTACAGCATCATAACATACTGGACTCTACCTAGCTACAGCATCATAACATACTGGACTCTACCTAACTACAGCATCATAACATACTGGACTCTACCTAACTACAGCAACATAACATACTGGACTCTACCTAACTACAGCATCATAACATACTGGACTCTACCTAACTACAGCATCATAACATACTGGACTCTACCTAACTACAGCATCATAACATACTGGACTCTACCTAGCTACAGCATCATAACATACTGGACTCTACCTAACTACAGCATCATAACATACTGGACTCTACCTAGCTACAGCATCATAACATACTGGACTCTACCTAACTACAGCATCATAACATACTGGACTCTACCTAGCTACAGCATCATAACATACTGGACTCTACCTAGCTACAGCATCATAACATACTGGACTCTACCTAACTACAGCATCATAACATACTGGACTCTACCTAGCTACAGCATCATAACATACTGGACCGCATTCCAGCTGGTGTCTATTTCACAAGTTACCACCGGCTAAATCTGTCACGCCCTGGCTCTGGGGACTCTAATATGTTGAGCCAGGGTGTGTAAAGTCTATGTGTTTTGTTCTAGGTTTCACATTCTAGTATTGTTGTTCTATGTTGGCCAGTGTGGTTCTCAATCAGAGGCAACGTGATTCAGCTGTTGCTTGTTGTCTCTGATTGAGAACCATACTTTAGCAGCCTGTTTCCCCACAGAGTTTGTGGGATCTTGTTTCTAGTCTGTTGTGTTAGACCGTGAACTGTCACGTTTTCGTTTTGGTGTTTTTGATCGTGTCTCTAATAAAGAGTATGTTTGCCTGCAACGCTGCGCCTTGGTCCTCATCTCTGTTCGACGATCGTGACAGAAGATCCCATCAGAACTGGACCAAGCAGCGGGTCGAGGAGCCATCGCCAGGGAAATCCCTAGCGGATATCCAGCGCCTCCTCGACTGGGTCAAGCCGGGTGAGGAAGAGAGGGGCTTGACGTGGAGGCAGAAGGGCGAAAGGCTGGCGAGAAGCATGGAGACCTGGTCCACGGGTAGGAGTGAAGCCCATAAATTTTTTAGGGGGGGGCTAACGCCGTGGACGACGGGGCAGCAGGAGGCCGCCAGGTTACGGGAGTCACTGGTCACCAGGGGGAAGGAGGATGTAGAGGCACGGCGAGAGGTACTGGCGTGTGTTGCCAGTCCGGTCCGGCCTGTTCCTGATCCCCACGTAGGGCCAGTGGTGTGTGTTCCCAGTACGGTCCGGCCTGTTCCTGCCACTCGCACCAAGTCTACGGTGCGCGTCGCCAGCTCGGCCCGGCCTGTTCCTGCTCCCCGCACCAAGTCTATGGTGCGCGTCGCCAGCCCAGTCCGGCCCATTCCTGCTCCCCGCACCAAGTCAGTGGTGCGTTTCGTCAGCCCTGTCCGGCCCGTTCCTGCTCCCCGCACCAAGTCAGTGGTGCGCGTCGTCAGCCCGGTCCGGCCCATTCCTGCTCCCCGCACCAAGTCAGTGGTGCGTTTCGTCAGCCCAGCTCGGCCCGTTCCTGCTCCCCGCACCAAGTCAGTGGTGCGTTTCGTCAGCCCTGTCCGGCCCGTTCCTGCTCCCCGCACCAAGTCAGTGGTGCGCGTCGTCAGCCCGGTCCGGCCCATTCCTGCTCCCCGCACCAAGTCAGTGGTGCGTTTCGTCAGCCCAGCTCGGCCCGTTCCTGCTCCCCGCACCAAGTCAGTGGTGCGCTTCGTCAGCCCGGTCCGGCCCGCTCCTGCTCCCCGCACCAAGTCAGTGGTGCGTTTCGTCAGCCCGGCTCGGCCCGCTCCTGCTCCCCACACCAAGCCAGTGGTGTGCGTCGTCAGTCCGGCACGGCCCGTGCCTGTTCCACCGGTGGCTGGTCCGGCACCGGTCAGATGCTTCACGCCGGAGCTAGAGCAATCCGCTCCACCAGTGTGCAGTCCAGCTCCGGCCAGCGGGGCCAGACCGGACCAGGGGTACTTTGGGGGGTTGGAGAGGGAGCGGGGTTCAGGCCCGGAGCCGGATCCGCCGCCTAAGCGGAGTGCCCACCCGGTCCCTCCCCTGTGGTATTTGGTGGGCGCGGTCGGAGTCCGCGCCTTTAGGGGGGGGTACTGTCACGCCCTGGCTCTGGGGACTCTAATATGTTGAGCCAGGGTGTGTAAAGTCTATGTGTTTTGTTCTAGGTTTCACATTCTAGTATTGTTGTTCTATGTTGGCCAGTGTGGTTCTCAATCAGAGGCAACGTGATTCAGCTGTTGCTTGTTGTCTCTGATTGAGAACCATACTTTAGCAGCCTGTTTCCCCACAGAGTTTGTGGGATCTTGTTTCTAGTCTGTTGTGTTAGACCGTGAACTGTCACGTTTTCGTTTTGGTGTTTTTGATCGTGTCTCTAATAAAGAGTATGTTTGCCTGCAACGCTGCGCCTTGGTCCTCATCTCTGTTCGACGATCGTGACAAAATCTATGACGTTGAAATGCCTTTTTTACTCTGTTCCATCTCACTGCACAATCCACTGTCTCATCAGCCCAGCCAGGCAATTTATAAACTTGATCTCCACTATAAAAACCATCTAGACATTATCTCCCATTTCTTTAGACTAGCATTTGGTTTTCAACAGCAGAGATTTGTATAAACCTTGCTGTCTGTCTCTTCGACATTTGCAACATTGTTTCAATATTGAAATTCGATCTCCAGCTGTCCCATAGTAATGAACGTGTCGGGAGTCGGGACGAGACAGACAGGCAGACAGCTTTTCTCAGCCAGTGGAAATCATGAATCAGCTGGCATAATTTTTATGGATATATACAAAGAAATGTCAGTAGAAAACAGGTAAGACGAAACGAAATGCAGCTAGTGATTGTGTTAGCTGTGTTGTTGGCTAGCTCCTCTGAACAACTCTGTCCTGACGAGAGACCACATTTTCAACGGCAGGCAAAATCGCGCATTATTAGCTAATTGTTATGGATGGATCCAAATAAATGCTACTAGGAAACACCTTAAACAAACGCAAATGCAGCTCCTTTGCTGTTATTCTGGCTATACTGTTTTACGTGACTGTAAATTAGCCGTAGTTGGCTAGCTAGCGAGCAAGGGATAAGAACGTTGCCATCCAATATGGCAATGGAACATTTAGAACGAATGACTGTGTCGCGTCCATAGATACAGAACAAAAATACTTTACGTCAGCCGGATTGGGTAGCAACTATATCTTGTGGAAAGATGAAATAGTATGAATAAATTCATCAAAATATATTTTTAATGAAAATATGTAAATCATTATTTGAATATGTTGGTAACCCGTTGTATAAAAGTGATAATGCCCTCGAAGTCGACTTCGTCTCGGGCCTAACAACACCCGTGCCAATATATCCTTAAAAAACTGTCTTCTTGGGCATTATCACTTAATTTTTTATTTTTTTTATTAATACACACATACAAATTAACACACACACACAGTTCACAGTCAATATTTGATGCAATGATGGGCAAACTATATTAGCCTGGAACCCAAGCTGTTGCTCTGTTTCAGAAGCAGTTTGGAAACCAGGCTAGAACTGTACATATTTTCTTCCTAGCAACAGTAAAATAGTCCTAGTCATGTTTCCGCTGTGTTACATTTCCTGGTATTAATGTCTATGTACGTTTCCGATGGTAGATGGACACATTCACACCAGGAACGTAAAACAACATACGCTAAGTTATCATAACAGAGTCCACAGGTTTTGTTTTGTTTTCACACTTCTTGTGGAGTCAGCACTGGAGAGAAAGGGACCAGCCCAAATGGCACCCTATTCCCTATATAGTGCACTACTTGGCTCTGGTCAAAAGTAGTGCACTATATAGGGAATAGGGTGTCATTTGGGACGCGGACTTTCTCTCCAGTGCTGATCTGCAGTGCTGACTCCATGCTGACTCCACAAGACGTGTATACTGTAGGGAATAGGGTGCCATTTGGGACGCATCCATAAAGTCCACTGTGTACGGTCACTTTCTGATCCTTGAATACACAGCGGCTCACAGCCAGCTCATCATCACACACATCGCTCTCGCTCGCTCTCTCACATGTATTGTCAAAGAGGTGTCATTGGGTCCATTCACACAATTTGAGAATGAAATAGTCCTTGAAGATAAAAGTGAAGATAGAATAGTCCCTTGTTCCCATGGTGATGAAGAGACACATTCCTGGTTACCTTGGTGTTGCTGTGGTGCCATGAATCAACTGAAAGAAAGAAAATATGGCAAAAATATGGTAAAAGAAACATATATAGAATGTGATGAGTTGGAAATCATAAGAAACAAATAGTATGCAAAACAAAATAAATACTAGGTTGAGAATGGTGCGTTAACAATGATCCCAATCATTTCAACATTATGGGTGTTTCAGTTTTACATACTGAATAAAACTGTTTTATGATCCGTCCATTTTACCACAAAGAACATAGGGACCTTCTCTCTATGAATAAAATCAACTGGTTATAATGTGAAATGTGGGAACTGTCCAATAGAGGGCACTATAACCTACACATTAACTTGCTGAATCAGCTAAGTCTATGGCGTCAGCAGAGTCATAGTCAATAGTCAACCTTCTATTTCCTCACATTTCATCACACTTTCACCTCCTCATCAGTGTGCTGCTTAACATTTCCTGTCATTGAGACTCTATGAAGTTAAATGCCCAACAAGTCTCTCTCTGAGGAGAGAGACCATTATTCCATTACAATAGACAGACTGACACTGGGACAGAAATACAGACAGAAGCATGTAACCACTGCTTCTTCTTTATGCAAGATGTCTAACTCTGAACTGAATAGGTGACCATCTAAGATGTCTAACTCTGAACTGAATAGGTGACCATCTAAGATGTCTAACTCTGAACTGAATAGGTGACCATCTAAGATGTCTAACTCTGAACTGAATAGGTGACCATCTAAGATGTCTAACTCTGAACTGAATAGGTGACCATCTAAGATGTCTAACTCTGAACTGAATAGGTGACCATCTAAGATGTCTAACTCTGAACTGAATAGGTGACCATCTAAGATGTCTAACTCTGAACTGAATAGGTGACCATCTAAGATGTCTAACTCTGAACTGAATAGGTGACCATCTAAGATGTCTAACTCTGAACTGAATAGGTGACCATCTAAGATGTCTAACTCTGAACTGAATAGGCTACCATCTAAGATGTCTAACTCTGAACTGAATAGGTGACCATCTAAGATGTCTAACACTGAACTGAATAGGTGACCATCTAAGATGTCTAACTCTGAACCATCTAAGCGTCACCCACAGACAAGTATATGGCTCTGGTAGCACCCAAACAGTGAATGACACATACAGTCCACAGCCTCTATGATAACACCAGTCATAGGCTCCCGAGTGGCGCAGTGGTCTAAGGCACTGCATCTCAGTGCTAGAGGCGTCACTACAGACCCTGGTTCGATTCCAGGCTGTGTCACAAACCGGCCGTGATCGGGAGTCCCATAGGGCGGCGCACAACTGGCCCAGCGTCGTCCGGGTTAGGGGAGGGTTTGGCCGGGGTAGGCCGTCATTGTAAATAAGAATTTGTTCTTAACTGACTTGCCTAGTTAAATAAAGGTTCAATAAAAATATATGTACGTTATCATACACTGAGGCTATGAGAAAAGACTGGTTTTACCCTATCAATTCATATTGTGTGTAGCTAAACACCAGTGACCCAGCCTAGCCTAGATGAGATGTAAACTGACAGGTCACACTATGCAGACACAAGCATCAAGCGGTCTGGTGGAGGTGTGTGTTATTGTGTCTGTATGTGTGTGTCGCAGAACCACAAGCATCAGGCGGTGACAGGACAAACTGTGACCTCCCCCACTGTCTGGGAACACAATGTCAGACTCAATCTGTCCCCCGTATCACAGTTTCCAAGCCAAGATGTCTCCTGGCACTGTAATGCTATATCATTAGTCACTTCCTGACTGCAACTGTGCGAGTGTCGACCCCATTGAGACAAGCAGATCACTAGGCCAGAGCTTCAGGGCTCTAGTGTCTGCTACTATAGCGTGTTGATCAGTTAAAAGCTTGGCTATAGTAAACTGGTTATCTAGATCGAAACCCTCGCAACGCTGCCGGCCCAGACGGCATCCCTAGCCGCGTCCTCAGAGCATGCGCAGACCAGCTGGCTGAAGTGTTTACGGACATATTCAATCTCTCCCTATCCCTGTCTGCTGTCCCCACTTGCTTCAAGATGTCCACCATTGTTACTGTACCCAAGAAAGCAAAGGTAACTGAACTAAATGACTATCGCCCCGTAGCACTCACCTCTGTCATCATGAAGTGCTTTGAGAGGCTAGTTAAGGATCATATCACCTCTACCTTACCTGACACCCTCAGACCCACTTCAATTTGCTTACCGTCCCAATAGATCCACAGACGATGCAATCGCCATCGCACTGCCCACTGCCCTATCCCATCTGGACAAGAGGAATACCTATGTCAGAATGCTGTTCATTGACTATAGCTCAGCATTCAACACAATAGTACCCTCCAAGCTCATCATTAAGCTCGGGTGCCTGGGTCTGAACCCCGCCCTGTGCAACTGGGTCCTGAACTTCCTGACGGGTCACCCCCCAGGTGGTGAAGGTAGGAAACAACACCTCCACTTCTCTGATCCTCAACACTGGGGCCCCACAAGGGTGCGTGCTCAGCCCCCTCCTGTACTCCCTGTTCACCCATGATTGCGTGGCCACGCACGCCTCCAACTCAATCATCCAGTTTGCAGACGACACAACAGTAGTAGGCCTGATTACCAACAATGACGAGACAGGCTACAGAGAGGAGGTGAAGGCCCTGGGAGTGTGGTGCCAGGAAAATAACCTCTCCCTCAATGTCGACAAAACAAAGTAGCTGATCGTGGACTTCAGGAAACAGCAAAGGGAGCATGCCCCTATCCACATCGACAGGACTGCTGTGGAGCAGGTGGAAAGCTTCAAGTTACTCGGCGTACACATCACTGACGATCTGAAATGGTCCACCCACACAGACAGTGTGGTGAAGAAGGCGCAACAGAGCCTCTTCAACCTCAGGAGGCTGAAGAAATGTGTCTTGGCACCTAAAACCCTCACAAACTTATAAAGATGCACAATTGAGAGAATCCTGTCGGGGCTGTATCACCGCCTGGTACGGCAACTGCACCGCCCGCAACCGCAGGGTTCTCCAGAGGGTGGCGCGGTCTGCCCAACGCATCACCGGGGGCAAACTACCGGCCCCTCAGGACACCTACAGCACCCGATGTCACAGGAAGGCCAAAAAGATAATCATGGACAACTACCACCCGAGCCACTGCCTGTTCACCCTGCTACCATCCAGAAGGCGAGGTCAGTACAGGTGCATCAAAGCTGGGACCGAGAGACTGAAAAACAGCTTCTATCTCAAGGACATCAGACTGTTAAACAGCCATCACTAGCCGGCTTCCACCCAGTTACGTAACCCTGCACCTTAGAGGCTGCTGCCCCATATACATAGACTTTAAATAACTGGCCACTTTAATAATGGAACACTAGTCACGCTAATAATGTTTACATACTGCTTTACTCATCTCATATGTATATACTGTATTCTATTCTACTGTATTCTAGTCTATGCCACTCCGACATTGCTCATACTAATATTTCTAATATTTATATATTCCTTAATTCCATTCTTTTACTTTTAGATTGTGTGTATTGTTGTGAATTGTTAGATACTACTGCACTGTTGGAGCTAGGAACACAAGCATTTCGCTACACCTCCAATAACATCTCCTAAACATGTGTATGTGACAAATAACATTTGATTTGACGTGTAGAGAGAGAGAGACAGAGCGAGAGAGAGAGAGAGAGAGAGAGAGAGACAGAGAGAGATAGAGATAGAGAGAGAGAGAGAGAGAGAGACAGAGCGAGAGAGAGAGAGAGAGAGAGAGACAGAGAGAGAGAGAGAGAAGAGAGAGAGATAGATAGAGATAGGAGATATATATATATATATATAGAGAGAGAGCTCTCTCCTCCTCTCTACTCGCTCTCTCAGTCTTCCTCTCTCTCCCCTCCGTTCTCTCATCTCCTTCTCTCTCTCTCTCTTCTTCTTCTCTCTCCTCTCATATATTCGTCCTAACTGCTATGCTCTAGATCATCTCTCTTCTTCTCTCTACTATTGCCGACAATGACAGAGAGAGAGACAGAGGGAGAGAAAGAAAATACTTACTTCTTCTTGTCCTTTTTGAATGGTTGTGAGGATTCCTGTAGAGACTGACCCATCAGCGTCTCAGCTGCCACCTTCCTCCTGTTGAAGGTGTTCATCTCCTCCTCCAGATCTCTCCTCTTCTCCTCCAGATTCCTCTTCTCCTCCTGGTGCATCCTCTTCAGCTGCTCAAACCTCTCATGGAGCTGGAGAGGACGGGGGGAGACAGGTTGGTAACGTAGTCACTTTGTGCTTTAAAGTCTAATAATATAGCCAGCAGAACATCCACCGAAATGTCTCGGAGTGCTGCACTGAGCAAACAGTTCAAACTAAAGTAAAAAGGGTCCAAACTGTTAATGCTCCTAAAATGCCCTGTTACGTTATGTCTGTATACACATGGTCACATGATGAATATCAGTTCAAGTATGAAAGGGAGCAGAACAGTATCATAATCTAAACAAAACAACTCCCAGAAGCACCCATGAATGATTACCTCCCTCTCCTTTTCTTTCAGCTCTGCCTCGGTCTCCTTCACCTTGTTGACAAACATCTGTCTCATCTCCTCCTCATTCTGCTGCAGATCCCCCAGGAGCTCTTTCCTCTTGGTCTCATACGTCTCCTGCAAACTGATTGGTGAGGGAAGAGAAGGTACTGTTACAGTTAAACAGGCATATGGTAGTGCACTATGTAGGGAATAGGGTGCCATTTGGGATGCATTCTAAATTTGATTATAGTATGTGTATTAGGTCTCTGACTGCTGTGAGATTTCCATGGGCTTTTGCTCCTTACAGTAGATGATCTACAGGGGCCAGTGAGTACTATGTGTTCTGATGCTAACTTTGGCTCCTAACTCTAGTCTAATTTCAGTTTATATTGTGCATATTTGATGACAAACCTTCAGCCCCAAAAAGGTAGACAACCTGCCCGCTATGTAACTTTGAACAAGAGCTGGTCTCACCTAAAGGGTTTGCTGTCAGGGTTTGTATCTGTGAAGCCCATCTCCTCCAGTTTGCAGCGTCTGTAGAGCTCGTAGTGTCTGGCGTGAGTCTGCTCTCTCAGGTCTTCCATGTTCACTCTCAGCAACATCTCTCTCAGCTTCACAAAGTCACAGTGGCTCTCGTTCTCCACTGTACAACACAACACAGCAGGATTGGATTATATGGTTGGTTTAATATAGTGATAATTACATTATAGTTTGAAAGGGACTGGTCATTCGATAGCAAGTTAGCAACAATACGCATTTGAGAAAATAACAGTTAAAGTATTTAAAAAATATATTGGCATTAATGATATGGGTCTCTAGTGATTGTGTAATATCGATTCATTAATGATATGGGTCTCTAGTGATTGCGTAATATCGATTCATTAATGATATGGGTCTCTAGTGATTGCGTAATATCGATTCATTAATGATATGGGGTTCTCTAGTGATTGCGTAATAACGATTCAATTAATGAATATGGGGTCTCCTAGTGATTGCGTAATATTCGATTCATTAAATGATATGGGTCCGCTAGTGATTGTGTAATATCGATTTCATTGAATGATATGGGTCTATAGTGATTGCGTAATATCGATTAATTAATTTATATGGGGCTCTAGTGAATTGCGTAATATAGATTAATTAATGATATGGGTCTCCAGTGATTGCGTAATATCGATTCATTAATGATATTGGGTCTCTAGTGATTGGCGTAATATCGATTCATTAATGATATGGGTCTCTAGTGATTGGGGGCGTTAATATTCCTATTCATTAATGATATGGGTCCCTAGTGATTGCGTAATATCGATTCAATGAATGAATGGGTCTCCTAGTTCTTGCGTACTATAATTCATTAATGATTGGGGCTCTAGATTGATTGCTTATATGATCCATTAATGATATGGGGTCTCCAGTGAATTGCGGCAATATGATTAATTTAAGATATGGGTCTCCAGTGATTGCGAATATCGATTAATTTAATGATATGGGTCTCTAGTGATTGCGTATATAGATTATAATGAATGGGTCCGATGATGCGTAATTCATTAATTAATGATATGGGTCTCTAGTGATTGCTAATACTCGATTCATTAATGATATGGGTCTCTAGTGATTGCGTATATAGATTCATTAATGATATGGGTCTCGATGATTGCGTATATATCGATTCAATTAATATGATATGGGTCGAGGATTCTATTGTATTGCGTCATATATTGGTCTCAGTGATTGCGTATATGATCATAATGATATGGTCCCTCTATGATATGGGTCTCTAGTGATTGCGCAATACCGATTAATTAATGATATGGGTCTCTAGTGATTGCGCAATATCGATTCATTAATGATATGGGTCTCTAGTGATTGCGCAATATCGATTCATGAATGATATGGGTCTCTACTGATTGCGCAATATCGATTCATTAATGATATGGGTCTCTAGTGATTGCGCAATACCGATTCATTAATGATATGGGTCTCTAGTGATTGCGCAATACCGATTCATTAATGATGTGGGTCTCTAGTGATTGCGCAATACCGATTAATTAATGATATGGGTCTCTAGTGATTGCACAATATCGATTCATGAATGATATGGGTCTCTAGTGATTGCGTAATATCGATTCATGAATGATATGGGTCTCTAGTGATTGCGCAATACCGATTAATTAATGATATGGGTCTCTAGTGATTGCACAATATCGATTCATGAATGATATGGGTCTCTAGTGATTGCGTAATATCGATTCATGAATGATATGGGTCTCTAGTGATTGCGTAATATTGATTCATTAATGATATGGGTCTCTAGTGATTGCGTAATATTGAATCATTAATGATATGGGTCTCTAGTGATTGCGTAATATTGAATCATTAATGATATGGGTCTCCAGTGATTGCGTAATATCGATTCATTAATGATATGGGTCTCCAGTGATTGCGTAATATCGATTCATTAATGATATGGGTCTCTAGTGATTGCGTAATATCGATTCATTAATGATATGGGTCTCTAGTGATTGCGTAATATCGATTCATGAATGATATGTATTCACTTTTCTATCCTAGGCCTATTGATTGTGAGGTCTTGCTCTGCTTGCATCAGTAGTATAGAAAAGGGACTTTTATTTTATTGATTACTGGGCATTCTTATTTGTTGTCCACTTTCTATAAATGTATAATCAATGTACAGGATCAATAGAGGGATACCTACCCTGTACGGTTCCCCAGGGGTACAGGATCAATAGAGGGATACCTACCCTGTACGGGTCCCCAGGGGTACAGGATCAATAGAGGGATACCTACCCTGTACGGGTCCCCAGAGGTACAGGATCAATAGAGGGATACCTACCCTGTACGGTTCCCCAGGGGTACAGTCTCGCTTTCACCATCTTATTACCCACTTTAACCTCCTCAACACTCCCCACCACAGCAAAGGGCAGATGGGCCTGGAACAAAGGATTTAATTTAATATGGGAACATTTAGTAACACTTTACTAAAGCCTGCAGATACTGAATAATGCATTATGATGCAGTTATAATGCATGATAAGACTGTCATGAGCATTTATGACCCCCTTATAATATAACAATGGCTTGTTATTTGAAAACACAAGTCCACAGCAAATAAACTGACGTTTTATTGAAGGCATAGAGGAAGAGGAAGAGACTGTTTTAATCAATCAATCAATCAATCAATCAATCGGCTCCTCGGCTGACGCAGTAAATCAGGAACGCAAGCAATCTGATTAGAGTGTACAGCTGCCTGGCATACACAACTGCAAAAGTGTGTGTGTGTGTGTGTGTGTGTGCGTGTTTGTCCATGTTTGTGTGTATAATTGTGTGTGTGCGTCTGACTCACATTCATAGAGGAGTTGATCTCTGTGACAGCCTCGTCCTCGGTAGGGAACTGGTGGATCTGAACACCGTTGCTCACCAGCTCTGACATGATCTTGATCTTGAACTTGTGCAGCTCGCTCTTAGATATCGTGTCTGCCTTCGCAATGATGGGGATGATGTTCACCTGCAGTACATGGAGGAGCAGCATTACCATTGGAATAGCGTTTTGAATCATCAGGTCTACTGCGCTTTTAATTGACTTTGGAATGACACAAACGCAAGCATCAAAATGCAATGCAGCTCTACTTTCAGATAAAAACATAACTGGTTGTGCCTAAAACTTGAACACTTGGCAGTATCCTTCAGTTCTACAGAGCCCTTCATTTGAGTTGTGCAGCTGTTCAACTCTATGATGTCCAATGCTTCAGATGCTAACACACCAATGTCCAAAAATGTTTTCTTGCAACAGTGTAAGAGCAGCTCCTAATACAAGCATATATGTGCTCTACGTGACCAAATGTATGTGGACACCTGCTCATCAAACATCTCATTCCAAAATGGGCATTAATATGGAGTTGGTCCCCACTTTGCTGCTAAAACAGCCTCCACACTTCTGGGAAGGCTTTCCATTAGCTGTTGGAACATTGCTGCAGGGACTTGCATCCATTCAACCACAAGAGCATTAGTGAGGTCGGGCACTGATGTTGGGCAATTAGAACTAGCTTGCAGTCGTTCCAATTAATCCCAAAGGTGTTCGATGGGGTTGAGGTCAGGGCTCTGTGCATTTCTCGACAAACCATTTCTGTATGGACCTCGTTCTGTGCACGGGGGCATTGTCATGCAGAAACAGGAAAGGGCCTTCCCCAAACTGTTGCCACAAAGTTGGAAGCACAGAATCTAGAATGTCATTGTATGCTGTAGCGTTAAGATTTCCCTTCACTGGAACTAAGGGGCCTAGCCTGAACCATGAAAAACAGCCCCAGACCATTATTCCTCCATTACAGTTAGCCCTATGCATTCTGGCAGGTAGCATTCTCCTGGCAGCCGCCAAACCCAGATTCGTCCGTCGGACTGCCAGATGGTGAAGCATGATTCATCACTCCAGAGAACGCATTTCCACTGCTCCAGAGGCCAATGGTGGCGAGCTTTACACCACTCCAGCCAACGCTTGGCATTGTGCATGGTGATCTTAGGCTTTTGTGCGGCTGCTCGGCCATGGAAACCCATTTCATGAAGCTCCCGACAAACAGTTATTGTGCTGACGTTGCTTCCAGAGGTGTTGCAACACTCGGCGGTCCCGTTCTGTGAGCTTGTGTGGCCTACCACTTCGCGGCTTAGCCGTTGTTGCTCCTAGATATTTCCACGTCACAATAACAGCACTTACAGTTGACCGGGGCAGCTCTAGCAGGGCAACTGACTTTTCAGAAAGGTGATATCCTATGACGGTGCCACGTTGAAAGTCACTGAGCTCTTCACTAAGACCATTCTGCTGCCAACATTTGTCTATGGAGATTGCATGGCTGTGTGCTAGATTTTATACACCTGTCAGCAACGGGTGTGGCTGTAATTGCCGAATCAACTAATTTGAAGGGGTGTCCATATACTTTTGTATATATAGTGTATTTCAAACGTTACCTTGCTGTCCAGTTTCTTCATGGTGACCAGATCCAGTGATTTCAGGGAGTGTCCAGTGGGGGCGATGAAGTAGAGACAGATATGGATCCTGGTGTCGTGGTGGTTGAACAGGGAACGTTTGATCTTCATCTCCTCCTGCAGGTAGGTCTCAAACTGGGTGTCGATGTAGTCCACTATGGGTTTGAAGCTGCAGCGCACAGGGAGACCAACATGGATGTGATCAGGATTTGTGCTTTGGGGAATAGGTCAGTTTCAATTACACGTGAATGGAGAATGTCAGAAATGCAGGAATTCCTGATTAATCGGGAACAATCACATCCCTGAAAAAAGGGATAAAACAACGCAGGGCCTGGAAACTTAGTATTTACTCTCAACCTCCTTACAAGCATTTTCACCAGAAAATAAATACCCTAGAGAGTTTTCCCTGCTATTCCAGAAACAAAAAGTAGAGTATTTGGGTTACAAACCGCCGCGATAATAACATCCCAAAAATTCACTTTCCCACTCCCCTGTTGTTAGACTATTCCAGTTCCTTTTCAGATTGCATTAGTTCATCCAATCATCCTCACCCTTCTCTTCCCTTCCTATTCATGGCTGCACAAAGACCCAAAGCCTTAAGTTATGCCAATCCTTTACACTGTATGTGTGTTCGGCTGGAGTGCCACTACTTGAGAGGGCCTGAGGAGGAATGCTGAATGTCCAATGTTGGTCTTCTTAAAGCTACAGCCTGTCTTAATCACTTCCCCCCTTTAACGACTGACTGAAAGTAGGTACAGTATCTAGAAACCATCCAAGAAGAAGTGCTATTTTATGACTAACCCCAACCTGAACCCTAACCTGAACCCTAACCTGAACCCTAACCTGAACCCCAACCTGAACCTCAACCTGAACCTCAACCTGAACCTGAACCCTAACCTGAACCCTCAACCTGAACCTCAACCTGAACCTGAACCTGAACCCTAACCTCAACCTCAACCTGAACCTCAACCTGAACCCTAGCCTGAACCCCAACTTGAACCTCAACCTGAAACCTAACCTGAACCTCAACCTGAACCCTAACCTGAACCTCAACCTGAACCCTAACCTGAACCTCAACCTGAACCCTAACCTGAACCCTAACCTGAACCTCAACCTCAACCTCAACCCTAACCTGAACCTGAACCCTAACCTGAACCCTAACCTCAACCTGAACCCTAACCTGAACCTCAACCTCAACCTGAATCCTATCCTGAACCCTTACCTTTTTTATTTTGTTATTTATTTTACCTTTATTTAATCAGGGAAGCCAGTTGAGAACAAGTTCTCATTTACAACTGCGACCTGGCCAAGATAAAGCAAAGCAGTGCGATAAAAACAACAACACAGAGTTACATATGGGGTAAAACAAAACATAAAGTCAAAAATACAACAGAAAATATATATACAGTGTGTGCAAATGTAGCAAGTTATGGAGGTAAGGCAATAAATAGGCCATAGTGCAAAATAATTACAATTAGTATTAACACTGGAATGATAGATGTGCAAGAGATGATGTGCAAATAGAGATACTGGGGTGCAAATGAGCAAAATAAATAACAATATGGGGATGAGGTAGTTGGGTGGGCTAATTTCAGAAGGGCTGTGTACAGGTGCAGTGATCAGTAAGGTGCTCTGACAACTGATGCTTAAAGTTAGTGAGGGAGATAAGAGTCTCCAGCTTCAGAGATTTTTGCAGTTCGTTCCAGTCATTGGTAGCAGAGAACTGGAAGGAATGGCGGCCAAAGGAGGTGTTGGCTTTGGGGATGACCAGTGAGATATACCTGCTGGAGCGCATACTACAGGTGGGTGTTGCTATGGTGACCAATGAGCTAAGATAAGGCAGAGACTTGCCTAGCAGTGATTTATAGATGGCCTGGAGCCAGTGGGTTTGGCGACGAATATGTAGTGAGGACCAGCCAACAAGAGCGTACAGGTCACAGTGGTGGGTAGTGTATGGGGCTTTGGAGACAAAACGGATGGCACTGTGATAGACTACATCCAATTTGCTGAGTAGAGTGTTGGAGGCTATTTTGTAAATTACATCGCCAAGGTCAAGGATCGGTAGGATAGTCCGTTTTACGAGGGCATGTTTGGCAGCATGAGTGAAGGAGGCTTTGTTGCGAAATAGGAAGCCGATTCTAGATATCACTTTGGATTGGAGATGCTTAATGTGAGTCTGGAAGGAGAGTTTACAGTCTAACCAGACACCTAGATATTTGTAGTTGTCCACATACTCTAGGTCAGACCCGTCGAGAGTAGTGATTCTAGTCGGGTGGGCGGGTGCAAGCAGCGTTCAGTTGAAGAGCATGCATTTAGTTTCACTAGTGTTTAAGAGGAGTTGGAGGCTACGGAAGGAGTGTTGTATGGCATTGAAGCTCGTTTGGAGGTTTGTTAACACAGTGTCCAATGAAGGGCCAGATGTATACAAAATGGTGTCGTCTGCGTAGAGGTGGATCTGAGAGTCACCAGCAGCAAGAGCGACATCATTGATATACACGGAGAAAAGAGCCGGCCCAAGAATTGAACCCTGTGGCACCCCCATAGAGACTGCCATAGGTCCAGACAACAGGCCCTCCGATTTGACACATTGAACTCTATCTGAGAAGTAGTTGGTGAACCAGGCGAAGCAGTCATTTGAGAAACCAAGGCTATTTAGTCTGCCAATAAGAATGCGGTGGTTGACAGAGTCGAAAGCCTTGGCCAGGTCGATGAAGACGGCTGCACAGTACTGTCTATTATCGATCGTCTATTATAATATCCTGAACAGTCCTGATGCTATCCCTCTCCCTACAGTACCTACACAAATCCATGAGCTAAACATCTTAACCAGATGTCAGGCAAGGTTACTCATTACGTGAGTGTGGTTCACCAAACCACCTCCTATCCAACTCACTAACAAGCGCCCAGCTGTTCCTGTACTATCACCTCTCCTCCTTGTTGACCTGGTCTCCGAACCCCACGGTGTCGACTACGGTCAGTTTGAGCTGAACGTTGCTCTCCTTCAGGTCATAGGTCCTGGGCCGCAGGTACACACCGTTCTGGTAGTGGCTGGCCTCCTCGGCCTCAAACAGTGTGTTGAACAGCGTGTTCATCAACGTCGACTTACCTATCCCTGTCTCACCTGAGATTAAGAGAGAGAGAAAGAAAAGTAGAAAATAAGATGAACATTTTAAAAAGATGTGAGAAAATAAAAATGCAGTGTGGCTGAAGATGTTTTAGCCTGGGTACCGGAATGTTCCGGCACTCAGGCTGGAGTTGTATCTGTAGTGAGAACTGAGACGCGTTAAGATCTTGCGGGCTGGAGGTAATGCTGGACTCAGACGTTACGTACCGACACATAGGATGTTGAAGCAGAATCCCTGTGTGACCGATTTACTGACCAACTGGTCTGGAAGACTGTCAAACCCAACATGGCCGCCCAGCTCCAGGCTCCGCTCCTCTTCATTCTGAGGAGAGAAAATCACATGTTATAAATGTGTAACAAAAAATATGCTAACATTTAAAACATTATCACAGAAGAGTGATAAACATTCCTTATACTCAAGCCCACATACTCCTCCCCAGTTAAAATAGCATTTAGTGAATGATGTCCTCCTCCTCCACTACTAAATCACGGAATACCTGACCTGTAAAGGGTCTCTCTGACTAAAACCCCCGGGCAAAGACATGCCGGTGAGATGCAAGGTCAGAAAGCACTCCCATGCATGTCAAAACAGGGAGGAATATCAGGAGGTTTCAAATCATTCTGTTTCTCATTTCATACTGTTTGTGTGCGTGTGATGTTTAATACGCAGAGACACGTGGGATTGGTTTTCCTTTTAATACAATATAATTACTTTATTTTCCAATGTGCTTGCCTTTTAGTACTAGATGGATACTCTACAATTGTGTCTGTAGGCCTGCCTCTAATGCTAGGTTACAATTACCCCAAGATGAAGGCCTAATTCTAATGCTAGGTTACAATTACCCCAAGATGAAGGCCTAATTCTAATGGTAGGTTATATTTAACCCAGGATGAAGGCCTGATTCTAATGGTAGGTTATATTTAACCCAGGATGAAGGCCTGATTCTAATTGTAGGTTATATTTAACCCAGGATGAAGGCCTGATTCTAATGGTAGGTTATATTTAATCCAGGATGAAGGCCTGACTAATTCTAGGTTATATTTAATCAATTTTCCCATAGCCAGGTTCTAAACCTGGGCTGTCTTCAGAGGGTCTGTCCCAAATGGCACCCTATTCCCTATGTAGTGCACCACTTCTGACAAGAGCTCTATGGGTCCTGGTCAAAAGTAGTGCACTATATAGGGAATAGGGTAAAATTTGGGAGAGAGCCTGGACCGTCTTCAGAAACACAGCATGTTGTTATTCACATTACAGAGGGCTAGCGATGAGGCCAAGGATGAGCTCAACACAACAACCATCTGTACCACTGGCCCAGTGCTCTACAGACACACACACCCACACACACAGGCACAAAGATCCCCCTGTGTAGCTGTTATTTCACACCCTTAACAAACACAATCTGTCATCCGCTTCACATCCATGTACCGTAGTGTGTGTGTGGTGCAAACTGAACTACAGAGATGAACTGAATCACTAAACTCAATAACTATGTGCTCAGAATGAGTGAAAATAAGTAGCTTGAATATGAAGATAAGTAGCCTGTATTCAAACCTTAAATCATGACCCCTCTGGCCTGGGGATCAATACCAATTCAGTAGGCTGCCGTTACGAACAAACATTGAAGGATGTCATATGTTGACAGACACACAAGTCCTCATTGTGTGTGTATATGTGTGTGTATGTATGTGTGTGTGTATGTGTATGTATGTGTGTGTGTATGTGTATGTATGTATGTATGTATGTATGTATGTATGTATGTATGTGTGTGTGTGTGTGTGTGTGTGTGTGTGTGTGTGTGTGTGTGTGTGTGTGTGTGTGTGTGTGTGTGTGTGTGTGTGTGTGTGTGTGTCTATAGTGTTGAACTGAGGATTAGTTCAGTTCCCTCATGGAGAGATAAGTGGCTGACTACTGATCTACTTATCCTGTTATCCGCAGGTTAGCTTCAATTCACAATAACAAACTAACTAGCCTCTTAGCTAGGGTTGCACTGAAAGTGTAACTCTCCCTCCTTTCATTGTAGTGATGTAGTTACAATGTATCAACCCTCTTCTCTCCACAAACATGCAAAGCCTGCATGGCTACAATAAACACATTCTAAAACTGTTACAATGTTTCACTGACAGTGGCAAATGATACATCTGTGGACCCAATTGATACAATGTAGCATTGAGTGGCTCTCTGAGTGACAGCACAGCGAGGTGTCGAGATTTGGATTTTAAAAAATTGTACAGCAATATCAGAGTGCAACGTCTAAAATGCGTCAATTGCATACGTAGCATCAATTAACATTTTATAAACAACCTAGGACAGGGTCGACATAATTATGCGTCAAGAGTAGGCTACCGTTCTCCAACGGCTATGTCGTCTACGGTAAGGAAATCACTGCTCTCCCGGTGATATCCGCCTAATCAGCTACTACTGTATACCAAAATATACTAGTAGGCACACTGCAACGTAGGCTATGCATGATGCACTAGGCTGTTTATTCACGATTTGTGTGAAACGCGGCAAATCTCTAGACTACTTACTCTAGCGAAAATGTCTATGTCCGTGGCGGCCATCGTGAAGAAGAGACGTGTGGGGAGTAGAATTTACGAGGAGCTGTCTTCATCGGGACCTGGTGGGGTTGACAGCTATGGTTGACAGTGGACCGGCTCAATTCATTCAATATGGCTACTTTGTGGCAACACCCCCTATGTGCTGAAACGCAATTTCTTAAAGTCTCACATGTAGTAAGACGGTACTGTACATGGTGGAGCCTCTGTTGCTTTGATTTAGTACTGTAGAGGTGAGACAAATGATGCGCCTTGGTTTCCATGAGAACAGATTGATGCACGGAGAAGGAGAAACACACAGACTATAATAATACAGACTATAAATCAAGAGGTTGGAGAGTGAATTGTTCTTTTTTCCCGATTTTTTTTAATTATAGGCTAATAGTCAAAGGCCTGGAAAAAAAATAAGTATGTGCTCCATCCATCATACATCAAGTATGCATTACTACTTTGTTACAACATGTAGGCTAATAACAGGTGTTTAAAAAACTGGCAAAATGAGGAAAAACTATTGTGCTAAAGAAAACCAAGGTGCAAACCTCAGAGATGGGACCAAGTCACAATTTTGCATGTCCTAAACAAGTCTCAAGTAATAGTCTTTGAAACCCAATGTACTGATTTTTGGGACCGATGAGGTGGCACCACAGGTCACAGATTGGTGGGGCAAATTGTTTTCCATGGGGCCCGGAGCTTTTCCTACTCTGGTAACCTAACCAGGTATAAATCAGGACCCTATAGGGTCTGACAGTGATTAATTAGTAGTTGTATTAAGGTATTTATATGGGCAATGATGGGAGTGGGACCAGATTTAGATTTTTGTAAATTAGCAGACACTCTAATCCAGAGCAATTAGGGTTAAGTGCCTTGCTCAAGGGCACATCGACAAATGTTTCAGCTAGTCTGCTCGGGGATTCGAACCATTGACCTTTCAGTTAATGGCCCAACGCTCTTAACCATTAGGCTACCTGCCACCTATACAGATATGTTCTAAACAGGTCATGGTTTTAAAGAAATTCTGGAAAAACTCTTGGCCCTAGGGAGGCTGAAACCCCTGTCAAACTGCAGCAACCGTGTACTTGTTAATATGAATTATATTTTACAACTACTTTCCTTTACACAGACACAACCACTGCAATTGGACAATAGTACTCACAGGGCTGAGCTTGCTTTATGCAGGTTTACATCTTATAGGCCTATGCAACTGCAGTTAAAAAGTAACTCCCAGTCTATTTATGTTTTGGGTTGACATTTTGGATTGAAAAGGTCAAGGTAGCCTCGCCAGCCAGCCCAAGTTTGAATATAGCCTAAACCAAATTTGATCACATTCACATTTTCTCCTAAAACAAATAAACGGGCTATAAATAGGCTACATAACATTACCACCTCATTTACCCTGGCCAGAGGGCAGGAGTGGACAGGGCGCATTGGCTGTGGCCTATGAAGATGCGGGCTGTGGTTGTTATCAGTAGCCTAGTTGATCAGACTGAGAAATCGTCTCGTTTTCTTCCCATACAGTTTAGGTGTAGGCTGCTGCAACATTTCTGTAAAGAGTTCTTGCTTGTGTATGTCGGGAGTGATGTATTATCACGTTTGCTAAATAAATACTGGAGGACAGTGGAGCTGCGCGCGTTTTGCTAGATGGCGTGCTTTGTGCCCGGCCTGCGCAACCTGTGATTTCCGTGAATCTGATTGGTTAAAACACAAAAGAGAACGCACAGAACCTGCAGCACAGATAGGCTTACTTAAAGCGCGAGATGACAATCAAGTCTCTCGAGTCATACAGTTCTAGTCCAAGTTAAATCACGAGTCACAGACGCTCAAATCGAAGTCCAGTGGCAAGTGTTTTTTCTTTTTGCAAATTCAAGTCTCAAGTCGCGAAATTTGCAACTCTAGTAGTACGCGAGTCCAAGTCACGTGACTCGAGTCCACCTCTCTGGCAACACTAGACTAGACTAGGATAGAATCGAATAGATCCTCTAAACTGGGAAAAGAAAAAGGGATGATACTGAAACGTGAACGCGCATATGTCGCGCACAGGCCGGGTACGTTTGGCATTCACCGCAAATCCGCAATCTCCCAACCCAATCTCGCGTTCATGCCAAGATGATATTTTCTCAGGAAATGTATTTGACCTGACACCGGAAACAGCAGTTAGTGGTGCCCCTCGACGCGGGGGGCATCAATCATCATAGAAGAAGACGGGCGGGACAGTCCGGGAGCGGAGAGTTTCAGAACAACAAGTTAACATTTCTCCGCTATCTGGGCAGAGGTGAACATTGAAAAAGATGGCTTTGACTGAAGAAACTATTTTGACTTTTTTGTTGGAACACGGGGGCAAAGTGAAGAATTCGGATTTGCTGAATCATTTTAAACCTCAGATCAATTGCTGTGATCCCGCGGAAAAGAAGCACAATAGGGATCTATTCAAGACAATTATAAACAGCGTTGCGGTCGTCAAACAGATAGATGATGTCAAGTTTGTCGTTGTAAAGAAAAGGTTTCACGACTTTGTGAAAGGGGGAATGCATTTAACCACTGAGAAGTCGGACTTGGACGAGAGGATTTGCAGTCAAAACACGTCGTTCTCACCCAGTTCTTCAGAACACAGTGAATATTCAGCCATTTCCAAATCTGGTAAGATACTGAACTCTGACATTGAAAATAACAATTCATATTGTGCTTCAAGCATACATGGAAATTGTTTGAACGATAATGTAAAACATATGCCTCTGCATATAAATGAATTAGGAGGAAGACCAAATGCGCACCCAGCAGGTTATGGGGGTGCCGTTAGGTCAAGTAAGCCTATTAAAAATGCTTATCAAGAAACCCCACAGTCAAGATACTGAATGTTTCAGCTGATCAAGGGATCAGAAAAACGGGAAAAACTACTGGCCCTGTGTTTGCTATAGTGGCAGTGAAATCTCCACCACAATCACAGAGAGAAGATCCAGTACTGGTGAGGCAGGATGGACAGAAAACTTCAGAGATCCTAAGCATGTTGGAACAGAGACCTCCCACTCCTCTACCACCAGAGGCAGCCGTGACTCCTAAACCCCCAGGCAGAGTGAGCTCAGAGTGGGGTACAGGCACCTACACCTCCCCTGGGGCTAAAATCAGACATCCAGAGCTAGGAGAGACACCACAAACATCTGGCTCTCCGCAGCTGAGGAGAACCCCAGACAAGCTCCTGAAACAGGGCAACGACACCACCAATGATCTCACCAAGGACGCCAATAAGGTTAGCAATAAGGATGTCAATAACTACTCTGATCAATCTGTCCCTTTGGAAGCTGCAGCTCATGAGTGGCTGGTGAAGTCTGCTGCCGGTCTCTGGGGTCAGATCTACGGCCTCCTGTTACAGGATCCACAGCTAGCAGAGAAGAAAGATTTCATCTCAGGTTTCACTGCCCTCCACTGGGCGGCCAAGGGCGGCAACGCAGACATGGTCCGCAACATCCTGGACATCTCCAGGAAGAGAGGCACGGAGGTGGACGTCAACAGCAGGACACAGGCAGGTTATACTCCTCTACACATCGCTGTCATACACGGCCACGATGGAGTCATAACCTTGCTGGTGAGAGACTACGGAGCCAGTGTGAATATAAGGGATAACGATGGGAAGAGGCCGTACCACTACCTGGAGAAAGGTGTGTCGTCTGAGCTCAGGGAGCTGCTAGGGGACCCACAGGCGTCCCAACAGGACAGGCGTCAGGACAAGCCAGAGGATGAGGAGGACAAGGAGTTACCCAGGGGACTGAATACACTGAGCAGACTGATAGGACACAGGAAGAGACACAAACACCACGCTGGTGAAGACCCAGAGGATGACAGAAAGGATGGGCCGCAGCCATACTATCGCAGACACTTCTCAGATATGTTCTATCATCATTGAATGTTCAACATTTGAACAGAGAATCCATTTAAACCCTCTTGACACTGTATGAGAATATTTGATCAAGCCCCAATGTTGAGTATTTCACTAAGTTAACTGAACAAGCACTAATATAAGCCATGTACTGATGGTGATGCAATCTACCTTTCTCATCTGGTACTAATATTTTACCTGTCTTGATTTAGTGGTGAGACATATTTATAGCTATATAGGGATTTCTAAGCTCTTAAGAAAGTCATTGACTGTAACGTGTTGACAATGAAGTAACAATGTTTTAGTTTTTTTTATACTGACCCAAGTTATTTTATAAAGTTGCATAACAAATACCATTCATGTTTTCTATGTGTCACACTCTTATGTCTGCACTGCAGGGGTGTAGTCCTATACTGGCAGCCTGGAAACAACCTGTCATTTGATTGATTCAGCCGAACTATACGAGGAAATACGACAACAAACCCCACCTTGGCAACAACAGAGTGGACCCAAACACCTGTGTGTTCTCCATTAACAGTGATGCCATCATGAATGATTCCATGGTGTTGGTGCCATCATGAATGATTCCATGGTGTTTATTTTCACATATTTCTTCCTCTGCTTTAATCAATCTTGTTTGTCAGGAATGTGTCAAAGTAAAATACATTATGGGGATGTGTCAGTCAGTTCTCGTACTGCTAAGAACAGAGCATTACAAAATGCTTTGTAGAGAAAAACGTTGCCCTTTTCCCTATCTGATTTAGCTTGTTGCTGTTACATTCATTCAGAAGAAAGAAGCCTCTCAGCTTGAGAATGTGACTGTAGGGGAGGGGAGGTAAGTGGGAGGCCATCTATGCTATGAGTGGGTGGATAGAATGTTGCCTTCGCATTAAATTATCAGCTTTGTTTATATGAAGGAGTGATGGAGGAGCTAGGAGGTACAGTGGGAGGGGAGGTAAGTGGGAGGCCATCTATAGGTACAGGGCACACTATCTGTACCTCATTCCTTTCCAGATTCCTGTGGCAGTACAGGAGATGTCCAGAGGAGGACAAGACCAGGCAGAAGTAGGGTCCTGTGTTTTGGACAGTCATCCCACTGGGCACACACTGGTTGAATCAAAGTTGTTTCCACGTCATTTCAATGAAATTACCTTGAACCAACGTGGAATAGACAGACGTTGAATTGACGTCTGTGCCCAGTGGGATGTTACATGACCTGGATTTTAACATTTATTTAAAGCTTTTTCATCAAACTGTCGCCTTTTCTTGTCATGTCAGATGGTCCAGCACCATCCTCAGACAACTGCTTGATTTTTTGGTCTAATTCTCATTTCTGGATAAGATTTAAAATAAAGGTTAAAATCCTAGGTCATATGACATGATAGCCCAAAACACTGGGCCCTAGACATAAGCTATTCTACACAGATGACCATTTTGGTTTTTAGAAGCTTCTAAGTACAGCTCCTACACTGATAACGATTAATTTAAAAGACTAAGTGAAATGACGTAGATACAGAAAGTAAACAGCATAGTGGGTCAATTTCTGAAACAACTAAGAGCGATAGGCGCGAGGCTCAACTTCTCCGCTGTTTTGGTCCCCTGGCTACAACGCTGTGAACAGCGTGAAGTGAACCCGTGCACATGGGCAGATACTGTGTGTGACTGTGTGAGAGCGAAGTCTTGCATCTCGTTCATCTCAATATCTGCGGTGCTGCTCGTGGCAACGTCACTTTGCTGAGTCTACCTTTAATCAATGTTTGTGTCAAGCCATTTGAGAAGTTTTTCTGCTGAGTTAGTGGTCCAGACATAAATTCACCCGTCCCGGTCGTAAACAGGCTCAGACATGGCTGGGATTCGTCTGACTGCGGGGTTAAATGTTATTAAAAGGTGCAGTCTGGGATATGTCCCTGTATATCCCTCAGTTTGAGTGGCAGGGCTCCCGTCGGGCTGAAACACGAATCCCAGATTACAGCTTTAACGTCCCTGAGGCTAGTTATGTGAGGAGCAGTGAACTGAACATGTTCACTCAGGCTGGCTGGCTGCACGCGTCCCCCCATTATGATGTCACTGCTCCCCATTCTGTGTGGGGAGAATTTTGCCTGGGGAGTCGGGTTCTCTGTCTCACCCATCTGTCTGTCTGTCTGTCTGTCTCACCCATCTGTCTATCAGACAACATGCCGATTTGAAATTGCATTGAAAATCACCACTTAATAATCACAATTGTGTGGAGGTCAATTCCATTTCAATTGCTGAATTGAATATGGAATTTAATCCGGAATAGAACTCAATTCCAGAACTGACTGAGTCGTAAATGTTCCCCATTAGTAAACCATTAGGCATGAATGAGGGATACTATTAGTCACTCATAATCACCACGTCATTACCCACCAGCCATCACTCCAACCCCCACCACACCCAAGGAAACAAGGAGTCAGCCTTCTGTTGTTACCCTGGCAAAAGATGACGAGCAGCTTAGAGATGACCAACAGCTGGCTGCTCATTCATGTAATGATCCGTATTCAGTCGGGTTGGTGTGACTCAGCATCGAATACTTGGATCACCTCAAACCTTTAAAACCTCACAGAAAACCTCTTGGTAAAAAAAGAAACAAAAATCAATCTTTGCAGTGTAAAATACGTTTACATGTAGAGAGCACAACGTTAAACTTTAAATGTATCCAATGCTACATTCTAAAAAGGTCTAAATCAAGACATTTGAATCAGTTTACACATCGTTTACACTGATTTATTTTCACCAAAGGACAAAAATAGTGATGACGGGGTTTGGAACACAGACAACAATAGCATAATAAGTGATAGTTTATTAAACAATGTGCCATTGTCTCAATGTGCCATTGTCTCTCTGCCCTTTAACAGGGCTCCCCCTTCCCCTGCCCTTAAACACTATTAAAGTATTGCCTGTGTTGGGTTGTATAACAGTAACCAGTACTTTCATAACCCCTTTCTACCCCCAAACTCATGGAGCACTGAGCAGAGAACTGGTAAAGGCCCAGTGCAGTAAAAAAAACTTGATTTTCCTGTGTTTTATATATATGTTTTCACACTATGAGCTTGTAATAATACTGCACATTTTTTTTACATGAGGATAATACCCTTAACAAAAATAAGCTATTTTTCTTTCTTTTCGACCATATACGGGACACCGATCCCTTAGAGGTTTTAACATTACAACATGAAATCCATGTTTTAAACGTGGCTACGTTTAGGAAATGGCAAATAAAACGTGTAATCTGCTTGACACATTAAAGTTACTTACCTTACAGATCACGAAGTCAGCTAATTTCCACTCTATTCATATGCAAATCCGTTTGATTCATACTCTGGCTTGTCTGGCTGTCACGTTTTTATTTTAACCTGCCCTTCCCTTATCTACACTGAAATAATATAATTTCAGTAGTCCTCTATTATGATTATTTTTTTCCTATCTCGCATAGCTCATTAGTACACCATTGTGGTTGAATATATATGTATCTATTATAGGCCCTAGGATACAACAATGAATAATGTGGAACAAATAAATACCATCAAAGGATACCTTACAACTTACAATAATGAACACCTTGTGAAACAGCTGTGAAAACCAACCTGGCAATATTTAAGATTTTAATACATAAACAGATTTTTTGTACACTCAAAAGACAGAATTGTGGTGTGTGGAATATAGAGGAGGTGGTTGCTGTGTGGGTGGGAGGTTCTGCCTGTCACTTGTTCTCAACAGGCAGCCAGTCTCGGAAGGGGGACTTGAAGAGGGGAGACTGCAAAGTCCAGGCACTGCTGCTCCCTTTGTTCTGAGTGTTTTTAGTTCATCTGTGTATCTCACATATTATGTGCCCAGTATGATAGAACAAGAAAACTTTCTTATCAGATAATGACAACAACAGTAGCTGTAGATGATGTAATGAAAAGTTGAAGGGTGGTTGGTAATGGAGGACATCAGGTGGATCCACGTCTGGGTGTTGGGCAGAACCCCTAGGTCCTGGAGAACAGGAGCAGAGTTAAAGGAAACAGGGTAGGAGACAGAGACGTAAACAAGCAAACACAGGTTAGTTACACTTCACTGGGAGAACACCTGATGGATTAGTACAGTGTTATAAATGGGAGATATGTACTTTTCAACACTTTTGGAAGGTATAGCCTACCTCAAGCTGGTCCCCCTACGACTCAGAACACAGAGAATCAGACTGATCCGAACTCACTGGTTCTGGTGGATGGGATACCTCCTGGGGGTTCGGACAGTCGATGGTCCTAAAGTCATTTGGAGAGATAAATTGAAGAGGTCAATTATTATAAACTCAGTATAACTACCATTTCTTGCTTTCTCAAATGTCATCCAAAACTTAACATACTTTGTCTATTGGGCTTCACCGAAGTGTAGGGAAACTAAAACTAGCTTCAGGTTATTTTGTGTGCAAATGCAAATATCTGAGATTTTTTATATTCACCTTAACAGATGGTGACCCCAGCTAGGAGCCAAAGAGCAGTGAGGTTTCCCAGGTCTCGCCTTCCTTTAATCCTTCTTCCAAACCAAGTAATTTGCCCGGATGTCGAAGCACTTGGTCCCCTTCTTAATTCTGCTCCGGTAGCTCTCCTTCTGTTTCTCCTGCAACTTGTCGATGTTCAGTCTCACCTTGATTGATAACAGGAATAAATGCAATTATATTTCATATTGCAAATACATTTCTTACATATCTCTTGGAGGGCCAGAAAATAAATTAACAGCGGACAATCATTTTTACCTGGTCAAAAACCTCCACATCCTTCTCAGTCCGTACCTGAAGGTGGTCCTAGAAGGCGTTGTGATCTGGTTCGACAACTTCCACCACATCAGGTGGAGTTTCAGTGATCTGAAAGTATGTTATACAAAAATAGCAATAGACAAACAACACTAAGTCAATCACAAATTTGAAAGACTACAGTATATGCAACACTTTTTGGAAGGGGGGAAACATTGGAATGACATTCCCCTTACATTTGCCCTTCTGGTTTTTGACGTGCCCTGAGTTGATTCGTCTTCTTCTTCTGTGGATTTTATTTGGCGGTTGGCAACCAACTTTAAGGTGCATTACCGCCACACACTGGACTGGAGTGTGAACCAGAGACGGTGAAGTTCTAAATCCTACCCAATAATCTTGTCTCCCGAAAGAAACTAAATACATAATTAAATACTACATCCCCTGAAGATTTCCCCAGCAGTTCACTTAATCCTGGCTCTGCAACCCCATTACTCCTCAAATCTAATAACAACCGCTCCCTTTCTCTCACATATTTCTGGAACTGAAATAAATCAAATCAAATCAAATTTTATTGGTCACATGCGCCGAATACAACAGGTGCAGACATTACAGTGAAATGCTTACTTACAGCCCTTAACCAACAGTGCATTTATTTTAAACAAAAAAGTAAAAATAAAACAACAACAAAAAAAAGTGGAGAAAAAAAAGAGCAGAAGTAAAATAAAGTGACAGTAGGGAGGCTATATATACAGGGGGGTACCGTTGCAGAGTCAATGTGCGGGGGCACCGGCTAGTTGAGGTAGTTGAGGTAATATGTACATGTGGGTAGAGTTAAAGTGACTATGCATAAATACTTAACAGTGTAGCAGCAGCGTAAAAAGGATGGGGTGGGGGGGCAGTGCAAATAGTCCGGGTAGCCATGATTAGCTGTTCAGGAGTCTTATGGCTTGGGGGTAGAAGCTGTTGAGAAGTATTTTGGACCTAGACTTGGCACTCCGGTACCGCTTGCCGTGCGGTAGCAGAGAGAACAGTCTATGACTAGGGTGGCTGGAGTCTTTGACAATTTTGAGGGCCTTCCTCTGACACCGCCTGGTATAGAGGTCCTGGATGGCAGGAAGCTTTGCCCCAGTGATGTACTGGGCCGTACGCACTACCCTCTGTAGTGCCTTGCGGTCAGAGGCCAAGCAGTTGCCATACCAGGCGGTGATGCAACCAGTCAGGATGCTCTCGATGGTGCAGCTGTAGAATTTTTTGAGGATCTGAGGACCCATGCCAAATCTTTTTAGTCTCCTGAGGGGGAATAGGCTTTGTCGTGCCCTCTTCACGACTGTCTTGGTGTGTTTGGACCATGATAGTTTGTTGGTGATGTGGACACCAAGGAACTTGAAGCTCTCAACCTGTTCCACTACAGCCCCGTCGATGAGAATGGGGGCGTGCTCAGTCCTCTTTTTTTTCCTGTAGTCCACAATCATCTCCTTTGTCTTGGTCACGTTGAGGGAGAGGTTGTTGTCCTGGCACCACACGGCCAGATCTCTGACCTCCTCCCTATCGGCTGTCTCATCGTTGTCGGTGATCAGGCCTACCACTGTTGTGTCGTCGGCAAACTTAATGATGGTGTTGGAGTCGTGCCTGGCCATGCAGTCATGGGTGAACAGAGAGTACAGGAGGGGACTGAGCACGCACCCCTGAGGGGCCCCCGTGTTGAGGATCAGTGTGGCAGATGTGTTGTTAACTACCCTTACCACCTGGGGGCGGCCCGTCAGGAAGTCCAGGATCCAGTTGCAGAGGGAGGTGTTTAGTCCCAGGATCCTTAGCTTAGTGATGAGCTTAGAGGGCACATGTTCCACTGTCTCCATCTCCTCCTGACAATGATCACACCTCCCAGTCGGATGTTTCCAAACCACTTTCAATGTACTATAGCCTATCTATTTATTGCCTTACCTCCATAACTTGCTACATTTGCACACACTGTATATATATGTATTTCTGTTGTATTTGTGACTTTGTTTTGTTTTACCCCATATGTAACTCTGTGTTGTTGTTTTTATCGCACTGCTTTGCTTTATCTTGGCCAGGTCGCAGTTGTAAATGAGAACTTGTTCTCAACTGGTTTACCTGGTTAAATAAAGGTGAAATAAATATAAATAAAAAATACTATTTAGCCTTGTGTGTCCCAGTCTCAGCCTTGTGACTACACTGTCCTCCCTTCTCTCTCGGCCTGAGGACCTCCCTGCCCCCACCTTTTCCTGGATCTTATACAGGTGTCTTCCAATACTCTCCCTGTTCCACAACTCTTGCCACTTGTTTTTAACCACTGTTCTTATTAACCACTTGGCTTCTGCTTTACTGATTGACAATTCCATCTCAACATAAGGATGTTTAAGAGCCTGCTTGGCAATAATATCCACTTCCTCATTCCCCTCTACTCCCACATGAGCTGGTACCCAGAGGAACGTCACAAACACCCCCATCTGTTTCACCCTATTCAAACACTGCAAAACCTCATACAATACATCCTGTCTGCTCTGAGACACACATGACTTTAAGCTCATCAGTGCTGCACAGGAGTCAGAGCAGATGACTACCCTGTTTGGCCACACCTCCTCCACCCACTCTGCAGCCAATAGTACGGCCAACAACTCCATTGTTGGCCGTGGTCCTCAACTCCATTGTTGGCCGTGGTCCTCTGTAGCTCAGCTGGTAGAGCACGGCGCTTGTAACGCCAAGGTAGTGGGTTCGATCCCCGGGACCACCCATACACAAAAAATGTATGCACGCATGACTGTAAGTCGCTTTGGATAAAAGCGTCTGCTAAATGGCATATTATTATTATTTATTAAATAGATAAATGATATGTTGCTCTTTTCGTCACTGCCACCTTAAACTCAAGAACACTAAAAGCTGCCCCTGTCCTCCCTGTTTTAGGGTCCTTAGATCCATCTGTGAATATATTCAAGAAAGTATGGTGTTCTTAAATGTTCACTTACAACTGAATCTACTCCTTCCTCAACATATCTTACCCTCTCAAGCAACCCTAGATCTATCACTGGATAAGGGAGAAACCAAGGTGGGATAGCAGGAAGAACCACAGAGGGGCTAAACTCCCTCCCAAACAACCCCATCTCTCTCGCCATGCAATTGCCTATCCACCCAAAGCTTGTATTCAGATTTTGTTCATGTTCCCAGCGCTCTAGGAGCACCTTTTCTGTAGGATGTGTAACCCTATGTCCCTGTAGATTTACCCAATATGTCATGGCTAGCTGTTGTCTTCTTAACTTTAACGGCATCTCTCCCAACTCTACCTGCATCGCTGCCACCGGGGAGGTCCTGAGTGCTCCACAACATATTCTTAGGGCTTGGGCCTGGATAACATCTACCTGTTTTAAATATGTCTGAGCAGCTGATCCATATGCTATAATCCATTGATGACCGTAACAGCGCTATATATATCATTTTCAACGCCATTCTATCTGCCCCGACTCCATTCCTGACAAGCAACGCATCACATTCAATATTTTCTTTCCTTTGACACCTACTCTGTTACAATGCTCCGCCCATGTCTTTCGAGTGTCAAACCAGACCCCCAGGAAGTTGATTCGTCTTCTTCTTCGGTGGGGTTTATCGGCGGTTGGCATCCAACGTTATGGTGCATTACCGCCACCTACTGTACTGGAGTGTGGGCCAGCGACAGGGGGAAACTAAATCCTACCTGCCAGCCAGGTGGCTCTTTAAAAATAACAAAATATTTTGAGACTATATCTAATGACGTTCTACTCAATATACTCTTTAAACTAATTTCCTGTATCACCTTCTCCCTCATACTAGATCTCAGCCTCTCTCTTTCCCTCTGACGCTCCCCCTGAGTTGATTGCGCACACCTGTTCAATCTGAGTGACATGTGCATAGGTTGGTTGACCTGAGGGAGTTCTCCAAGTTTTGACGGATTGATTTACAATGGAGACTCCCCTCCACTTGACTATTGTGCTTAATTACTGGACCTCTATTTTACTACTCCTCTTGATCGGCGGCCTTTCACTTGGATCGTCCCCGACCACGTCAAATCTAGCTGACGAGTTTGGTGATTCCACTTTGTACCAACATGGCAGTATCTTGTCGCCCCTTCTGAAGGCGCTGACAGCACAGGGAGTTCCATGGCGAGACACGACCCCAATAACGAGACCCGAGCCGAGATATGTTCGATACATGAAAAGACTGTACAGGATGTCTTCTAGACATGAGAGGAGTTCGGAAGGGAACAACCATCTGTACAACACAGTTCGACTGATAACCCCGCGGGATGAGTGCCTGGAACAAGGCAAAGGTGAGCTCTGAGTTTTGGCTAAAACTTCATTTACATGGAAATGTAATGGCTTGAGTGAGGCCCTTCTTACATAGGGACACTAGTTTAAAACAGTGTACAAAACATTAGGAACACCCGCTCTTTTCATGACAGACTGGCCAGGTGAATCCAGGTGAAAACTATTATCCCTTATTGATGCCACTGGTTAATTCCACTTCAATCAGTGTAGGTGAAGGACAGAAGACGGGTTGAAGAAGGATTTTAAAGCCTTGAGACAATTCAAATCACATGTATTAGTCACATACACGTGGTTAGCAGATGTTATTGCGAGTGTGGCGAAATGCTTGTGCTTCTAGTTCCGAAAGTGCAGCAATATCTAGCAAGTAATATCTAACAGTTCTTCAACAAAAACCTAACACACACAAATCTAAGTAAAGGAATGGATTAAGAATATATGGATGAACAATGTCATTATCAGAGTGGCATAGGCTAAGATGCAATAGATAGTATAGAATACAGTATATACATATGGATAGTATAGAATACAGTATATACATATGGATAGTATAGAATACAGTATATACATATGGATAGTATAGAATACAGTATATACATATGAAATGGGTAATGCAAGATATGTAAACATTATTAAGATAGTAAAGAATACAGTATATACATATTAAATGGGTAATGCAAGATATGTACACATTATTAAAGTGGCATTATTAAAGTGACTAGTGTTCCATTTATTAAAGTGGCCAGTGATTTTCAAGTCTGTATGTAGGCAGCAGCCTCTGTGCTAGTGATGGCTGTTTAACAGTCTGATGTCCTTGAGATAGAAGCTGTTTTTCAGTCTCTCGGTCCCAGCTTTGATGCACCTGTACTGACCTCGCCTTCTGGATGGTAGCAGGGTGAACAGGCTGTGGCTCGGGTGGTAGTTGTCCTTGATTATCTTTTTGGCCTTCCTGTGACATCGCGTGCTGTAGGTGTCCTGGAGGGCAGGTAGTTTGCCCCCGGTGATGCGTTGTGCAGACCGCACCACCCTCTGGAGAGCCCTGCGGTCGTGGTCAATTGAGACATGGATTGTGTATGTGCATTCAAGGTTGGCTCTAGCGTTTTGGGGACCTTAAGCGAGATTTGGGCATGTGCCCAGTAAGTATTCTGCCATGATTACTACAAGTTTAGATAGCTGGCTTAACTAATTTACAATCTGAAAATTGTTAGCCGACAATTGAGTGACTGTCAGTGACATAACAAGCGAAAATTACTGATGCACAACCACATTTCTAACTTGCACCTTGTTTATTCTACTATGCTAACTCTCAACAGGAAGTTGAGACCCCACTGAGTTAATAAATAAAAACTTTACAATTATTTTGGTCTGGGGCCCTAAGGGGAGCGCTTATGTCTGGAGCTGGCCCTGTGTGCCATTCAGAGGGTGAATGGGCAAGACAAAATATTGAAGTGCCTTTTTAAACAGGGTATGGTAGTAGGTGCCAGGTGCACCGGTTTGAATGTGTCAGGAACTACAACGCTGCTGGGTTTTTCACGCTCAACAGTTTCCTGTGTGTATCAAGAATAGTCCACCACCCAAAGGACATCTAGCCAACTTGACACAACTGTGGGAAGCATTGGAGTCAACATGGGCCAGCATCCCTGTGGAACGCTTTCAACACCTTGTAGAGTCCATGAATTGAGGCTGTTCTGAGGGCAAAAGGGGGTGCAACTCAATATTATATTCCTAATGTTTTGTGAACTCAGTGTATTTGATGTAGCCTAGATTTTAGGACTGAGCAATTGAACAAAAAAACCTGCTAACTTATTTACATTAACATTTGAGTCATTTAGCAGACACTCTTATCCAGAGCGACTTACAGGAGCAATTAGGGTTAAGTGCCTTGCTCAAGGGCACATCGACAGATTTTTCACCTAGTCGGCTCAGGGATTAGAACCAGCGACCTTTCGGTTACTGGCACAATGCTCTTAACCACTAAGCTACCTGCTGCCCTTATTCAGACACATTTGGCACCAATGCATTAGCATCTGGGTCTGGTCTGCTAAGTTAATTGACTGTATGTGAACCAGAAAAAAAGGAGCGCATGAGATGTCGCTTCCTCTTCCATCTCTGGTTCTACTTCTTATAGGCCTACATTTCCCATGTTTCCTACAGAGTTCTTCATGCAAGACCTCTCCTACAATCTGGACCGTGTCAGAGCCAAGGAGCAGCTCCTGAAGTCTGTCCTGCTGTACTTTTTCGATCAAGAGCAGGCCACGTCCATGACTACCCTGTGTTACCTAGATGTGAAAGAGCAGGATACCCAGGATCAGTGTCCTCTCTGCCCCAGTACCCATCACTCAGTCAACTTCCTGTTCCACACGGACCGCAGGAGGAAGTGGGTTGAGGTGATTGTTGATTTATTTCAATATAATTCAATGCAAACAACTTTATTTCTTCCCTTAGGGAAATAGTATTAAGACTATAAAGGGCTATATTTGATCATTTAAAAGCACAATTCAACCACCTATTTGGATACACTGCATTACAATCACAAAGGATGTTAAACCACAATAATGTTTACTTTTTTCATTGTGGCCCTCAAGGTGGACATCACGGCGTTCCTCCAACCTCTCATCCAGTCCCACAAGAAAGACATCCACCTGCTCATCAACCTGACCTGTGTGGAGGGAAGAGGCAGAGGGGCTAAGGGTGGAGGAGAGGAGCGGAGTGGTAGGGGCCCCGTGGAGCTCCACCTAAGGTCTCCGTCCTTGCTCCTGTACCTCAATGACACCAGCGAGCTGGCACACCAAAGATGGCCGCCCACCAGGTCACGAGGTCATCCGAGGTCAGCCAATGAGATGGACACCTTTGAGAGCCTGGTGGAGTTCAAACCGGAGCGAAGGATCAGCCGGAGCGAGAGGAGGAGACTGAGGAGAGAATCTCTAGATCTGTCAACGAACAACGCAGGAGGCAAAACGAGCACGAAGACCGTCCTCCCTGACCTCCTCCCGAGTTCTGACTTCCCTACGAGCGACTGTGCCTTGTATGACTTCAGAGTGAGCTTCAGTGAGCTGAAACTGAGCCATTGGATCATTTTCCCCCACAGGTACAACCCCAGGTACTGTAAAGGCACCTGTCCCAGGGCTGTGGGGTTCATCTACGGCTCCCCCAGACACACTTTCTTCCAGAACATGATCTACCACAAACTGGACTCCTCTGTACCACGGCCTTCCTGTGTTCCCTCGGAGTACAACCCCCTGAGTGTCTTAACCCTTGAAGCTGACTCCATCGCCTACAAGGAGTTAGATGAAATGATCGCCACAAGGTGCACATGCCGCTAAAGGCCGACCTCCAGGGTCAGGCTCAATTCTATTTCAACTCAGTGTAAAACTGAAAAATCTAAACTGATATTCCATTAGAATTCCAATTGTTCTCAATGCTTTAAATATAAAAAATATTCTCGCTCTTGCTGATCCTTCGCTCCGTAAATTGACTGAATTGAAATGGAATTGACCCCAACCCTACCTACCTCACTGACTGATGACGTTGTTTTACCAGCCTCAACACTTTGACCGTTAACCTACCTTCTGCATCGACTGCTGCTAGACTTATTCCATCCTCCTCAAGCCCTTGACTTTAGCAATCGGCTAATGTAACATCCTGGTCTGGTGACTTCATGACAAATCATCAGTGTCTTTGTCAAATCATCAGTGTCTTTGTCAAAACATCAGTGTCTTTGTCAAAACATCAGTGTCTTTGTCAAAACATCAGTGTCTTTGTCAAATCATCAGTGTCTTTGTCAAAACATCAGTGTCTTTGTCAAAACATCAGTGTCTTTGTCAAAACATCAGTGTCTTTGTCAAAACATCAGTGTCTTTGTCAAAACATCAGTGTCTTTGTCAAAACATCAGTGCCTTTGTCAAAACATCAGTGTCTTTGTCAAAACATCAGTGTCTTTGTCAAATCATCAGTGTCTTTGTCAAAACATCAGTGTCTTTGTCAAAACATCAGTGCGTGGAGTTCGATTTTATCTAGAACCGATGCATTTACTTACTTGCCAAAAAGTATTTTTATCTAAATAGAAAATATGGCATTGATTTCTCTTTGTTTCCATGTTTATGTGAAGTGATAGGAGGACTGTTGTGAATACGTATTATCCCTCCACTTGTTTGTTGATGTGCTTTTGCATTGCGTTGACACACGAAAACATGGATTGATTATTAATATGATTGTTAAGTTATTATTTTCGTTATTTTATTTTGGGTGTTCTGTCATCTTTATTCTCTATTCTTTCACACTAGCTGGTACATTTTAAGTACATCTGTTCTGGACAGAATATGAAAAAAGTGGTCCTATATACTTGTATCAAACACTTACACGTTTAATTTTATTCCTGGGGATTGCAGGTGGTTGTTTCATGGACAACCTCTTTTCATACAGTCCAGAATGTAAGTTATCTTTTATGGACAACTTGATGTTTCAGTGTGTATTTATTACCCTGGGTCATGAAATGACTGCATACCTATATGAAATTGTATTGATGAATTTAACTAAAATGCATGTCATCTATTTATGTAAAACAAATTAAATGTACTGTACGGTCTTGTTTGGCTCACTGATTATCACAAAAAAGTAAATGTATAATTAGAAAAATATTTGTTGGAAAAAATAAAGAGCAAGCACAGATCCTTTTGAGTGTTTATTCAATATATAATTGTAAATTGCATGGTTGTTTGTTCTGACCTACAGTCGTGGTCAAAAGTTTTGAGTATGACACAAATACTAATTTTCACAAAGTCTGCTGCCTCAGTTTTTTGATGATGGCAATTTGCATATACTACAGAATGTCGTGAAGAGTGATCAAATGATTTGCAATTAATTGCAAAGTCCCTCTTTGCCATGAAAATGAACTTAATCCCAAAAAAAACATTTCCACTGCATTTCAGCCCTGCCACAAAAGGACCAGCTGCCATCATGTTAGTGATTCTCTCGTTAACACAGGTGAGAGTGTTGACAAGGACAAAGCTGGAGATCACTCTGTCATGCTGATTGAGTTCGAATAACAGACTGGAAGCTTTAAAAGGAGGGTGGTGCTTGAAATCATTGTTTTTCCTCTGTTAACCATGGTTACCTGCAAGGAAACACGTGCCGTCATCATTGCTTTGCACAAAAAGGGCTTCACAGGCAAGGATATTGCTGCTAGTAAGATTGCACCTAAATCAACCATTTATCAGTCATCAAGAACTTCAAGGAGAGAGGTTCAATTGTTGTGAAGAAGGCGTCAGGGCGCCCAAGAAAGTCCAGAAAGCGCCAGGACCGTCTCCTAAAGTTGATTCAGCTGCGGGATCGGGGCACCACCAGTGCAGAGCTTTCTCAGGAATGGCAGCAGGCAGGTGTGAGTGCATCTGCACGCACAGTGAGGCGAAGACTTTTGGAGGATGGCCTGGTGTCAAGAAGGGCAGCAAAGAAGCCACTTCTCTCCAGGAAAAACACCAGGGACAGACTGATATTCTGCAAAAGGTACAGGGATTGGACTGCTGAGGACTGGGGTAAAGTCATTTTCTCTGATGAATCCCCTTTCTGATTGTTTGGGGCATCCGGAAAACACCTTGTCCGGAGAAGACAAGGTGAGCGCTACCATCAGTCCTGTGTCAAGCCAACAGTAAAGCATCCTGAGACCATTCATGTGTGGGGTTGCTTCTCAGCCAAGGAGAGTGGGCTCACTCACAATTTTGCCTAAGAACACAGCCATGAATAAAGAATGGTACCAACACATCCTCCGAGAGCAACTTCTCCCAACCATCCAAGAACAGTTTGGTGACAACCAAAGCCTTTTCCAGCATGATGGAGCACCTTGCCATGAGGCAAAAGTGATAACTAAGTGGCTTGGGGAACAAAACATCAACATTTTGACATCAACATTTTGGGTCCATGGCCAGGAAACTCCCCAGACCTTAATCCCATTGAGAATTTGTGGTCGATCCTCAAGAGGCGGGTGGACAAACAAAACTCCACAAACTCCAAGCATTGATTATGCAAAAATGGGCTGCCATCAGTCAGGATGTGGCCCAGAAGTTCATTGACAGTATGCCAGGGCGGATTGCAGAGGTCTTGAAAAAGAAGGGTCAACACTGCAAATATTGACTCTTTGCAAAAACTTAATGTAATTGTCAATAAAAGCCTTTGACACTTATGGAATGCTTGTAATTATACTTCAGTATACCATAGTAACATCTGACAAAAATATCTCATAACACTGAAGCAGCTAACTTTGTGAAGACCAATAGTTGTCATTCTCAAAACTTTTGACCACGACTGTACACAAACACATTTGACTGCTGACACACAACCGTTGTGTAGCTTAAAGTTTGTGTGCGTCTGCAATCATGTCATAATTTACTCCTATATGGATAGTTTAAGCACTGCTTGACAAAGCTTTATCAGCTTGGTTTTCTGCCTTGTGTGGGATCAGAGGCGTCATGCCCATTTAAGTCATGGGGGCACGTGCCCCCTCAGATTGGTCCTGTTTAAAAACTAAAACATATTTTTGGGGGGTGGATACATTTTTGGTTGTTTCTCTGTATTACTACCAGCCACCTAGCAATTTTGTGAAGTTCGATTTAGCTAGCCCAGATAGGATCCCAATCTCCCAACCTCAACTAGCTACCAAGATGCCATTTCAGGCTATCAATCAAGTTCGCGTAGCTAGCTTGTTTAACTATCTTAGCTGGCATGCCTGCTGGCAAGGTTGAGACTTTAGAAAAGCAAGCAATTACTGAATAAGACTCACATTCCGTTCAATCGTTTACTCAGATTTTTGCAGAGAAGCGTTTGTTAAAAATGAAATAAAAACACCAGTCAGGAATGAAGCATAATAATGCATAATTACATAGAATGTAGCTCAGTTGGTAGAGCATGGCGCTTGCAACGCCAGGGTTGTGGGTTCGATTCCCACGGGGGACCAGTATGAAAATGTATGCACTCACTTAACTGTTAGTCGCTCTGGATAAGAGCGTCTGCTAAATGACTCAAATGTAAACGTAAAATTAAGCATAATGATTATGGCTCTAGATTGAAGTTAAAAGCTGTTTCGGGTGTTTGAAAAATGGACAGGTGGCCTAGCCCCACTCCGGACTACCCCCAATCATCCTTACATACTTTGTGCCCCCTCTGGGTTTTTTGGTACATGACGCAACTGTGTGGGATGATTCATTCCATAGAATGAGCCACTGGCAATGCCTTTCCACATGGTGGCAGTAGAATCTCAATTTGCAGATATCACACGTGTAGAAGAAGATAACGGATGTTACGCAAGGCAACTTCCGCTGGGCGTTGAACCAAACCAGAGCGTTTTATTATAATCCAAAGCAGAGACGACATTAACCGCCATTAATCAGCGTCTTGAGAAGCAGTACGGTAAGAGATACTGAAAGTTTAAGGATTTGTGATCAATGTAAAAATTTTAATCACCTGTATAAGTGTCATATCAGTGTATGTTCTTGGGATTTTACGAAATAAGAGTCTCGTGCCATTACACACCTTTTAAATCTTGGCGTGAATGTCAAGCAAGGTCTTCATGTTAACGTTAGCTAAGTAACGTTAGCTACTGGCTAGCCCCGTTTGACCTCACTCTTGTGCAATATCATTTTCTAGCTAACTAATTAGCTAGGTTTTATCGTCTTCATATTTTCTATTATCTGCCAGACACGAGTTTACATGTCGCAATATCACTGGCTAAGTGACAGATGTCGTCGTATGTTTGGTGTTGATGATAACTTAGTTGGCTAACGCGTTAGTTAGTTCGCTAGCTAGCAATCTAGTTAGTAACGTTAGCTAATGTAATGTTTGCTATCCAGTTGTACTTGGAAATAAAAGCGAAGGTATCACGTTCAAACATTTCTAATCCAGTCTATTGACATAGTGCATTTTTACTTCCAACCATAACTAATTTGCTCTTTATAAATATGATTACGTGAGATGTCTATTGTAGTAACGTTAGCCAGAACAGATTCCGACCCTATGCTTACATTACAGCTGCACTGGTGTCCGACAGGTTTAGATTAAGACACTGCGGAGCCGGCACCAGATATGGCTCGAAAAACATAACTCAATCCAGGGATGAGAAATGGTGTTGTACTCAGAATTGTCCCATTATGTAGGGTCGGAAGAAAGTGTTGGGTAGGAATATATTCTGGCTACTATTGTGGAAGACTGGCTGGCTGTCATGTTTGTAATTTCTTAAGAGTAGGAGATGCACATTTGCCTGGCTACCCAAACTCCTTGCTCCTGGCCAAACGTT